CCCTTACTAGATATATCATTGGCAAATCTGTTCTCCCATGCAGCATGCTCAATTTTCACTTTGTTGATGGTTTCTTTTGCTGTGCAGAAAACATTTTAAAAAAATGAAACTAGACATACACCATACACACGAATAAACTCAAAATGGATAAAAGACTTGAAGGTAAGTCGTGGAACCATTAAAAATCCTAGAAGAAACCCTAGGCAGCAAAACCTCAGACACCTCACGTAGCAATACATCTCCCAGGGCAAGGCAAACAAAGGAGGAAATAAATGGGACTACATAAAAATAAAGCATCTATCCTTTGAAAAGGAGCCCATCAGCATGAAGTCTGCAGTATGATCACCAATCCACCAGGGGGCTCCCAAGTTCAGAACTGCACCTTCAGCATCACTGGTCTTGTCTCTGTGCCTGCCAAACCTGGGGAAACTGCTAGGCTCTCCCGATTGGGTCTCAGGAAAGACTCTGACACTTACTAGTATTTAAAAGCCACGCTCGCCATCTCGGATGATGAGAAATGTTACTCTTGGGAGGTTGTCATCTGTGTGAACAGTGAAGAGGAAGGAAAAGGATTGAGTGACTTTGGATTAAACTGCACCCTCTCCCAGGGTCTTTGGGTTTAATAAGTTTTAAATCAAATGAAAGAATGAATTCATTAAAATTAATTTAAATTCGCTGATGAAAATAAGTTTTAAACCAAATTAAGCATCATCCTCAGTGTGAAATGTTAGCCATCAAGGGGTAAGAGATTATTTTGGAGGGCAGCAAGACTTTCAAATGCGGGCACTGAAATGCCAGATCTTCTGACTCCTGATTCCTCCCACAAAACATACCCACTGGTGGTAAGAGGAAGATATGAGCATCTGAAACACTAGTGATGCCTGCTGGACATGGAGGCAGACAGGCTGCAGCAAGAATGACTGAAATCAGACATAAGGAAGGATCCAGAGAAGGGAGTTCATACATCCCTGGTGGATGACTGAGGAGAGATGGAGTTGATGAGTCTTCAGAAGGCAGGCTGTGTGTTCCCTCCACTATCATTTTCCTATGAATAAATGCACTCTGGTTAGTGGGGTAACGTATTGAGAGCATGGCACATGACTCAGGCCCTGATTCTACCAGCTAGCTGTGTGACATGGGACAGTGACTCCACCTCCCTGTGTTCAGTTTCCAAGCTTGTAAAATGGTGTTGAAAGTATCACATGATCTCACGCATACGTGCACTCTAATGAACAAAATAAACTGAGGAACAAAATAGCTCCAGAGACATGGCTGCCTATAGCAGAGGACAGAACCTCAGAGGGAAGGCAGGGGAGGGCGGATGGGGGGGAGTGATCAACCAAAGAACTTATGTATATGCATAACCCATGGACACAGATCACAGGGTGGTGACAGCCTGTGGCAGGGAACAGGGAGCGGGGGCAGACTAGAAGGGGCCAATGGGGGGGAAAGGGGACATGCAATACTTCCAACAATAATGGTATTTTTAATATAAAATAAAAGGAAATGGTGTTGATGTGGAGGGGTTAATTGTCACATGCAAATGTTTCACAGCAAATAGGCAAAGTCCCTAAAACTTCTTTTTCCTAATCCAAACTCCTTGCTCTTCAATCATTTCCCATAAAGCCTCCTCTCTAGACTCTGGGTTTCAGGACTCTCTCTAAATGAGCATCTTCAACTTTCTTAAAGCGTGTGGCCTTAAGCAAGGACAGTGTTCCCGGAGGCTCTGGCAGGGCAGGAAGATGCTCTCCGTGCCATTCTTATGGGGACCAGGATATACTCAGAGGAGGGTTTTGTGGTTTTGTTTTGTTTTTGTGTTGTTGGTTTTTTTGTTTTTGTTCTTCTTTTTGCAATAAAGGTAATTAGTTAAGTGGATACCCAATATGATTTAGTTTTTCTAATTTTGTTTGTTTAGAAATCAAATCATAAATAAGAAAGATATATTTTGTTCCAAGTTGCACAAATATGCTCACTTTAAGCTAGTCTGTCTTCTGAGTATGGGCCTAACATTCTAGCCTTTCCAGATTATTCTGAATTTTGATCTGTCATACAGAGGTTGTATAGTTCAGAATTGGAAATTGATCCTCTTATTTCTCTCTCTCTCTCTCTCTCTCTCTCTCTCTCTCTCTCTCTCTCTCTCTCTCTCTCTCTCTCTCTCTCTCTCTTCCTCACCCGAGGATATGTTTTTATTGATTTGAGAGAGAGAGAGAGAGAGAGAGAGAGAGAGAGAGAGAGAGGTGGATTAGTTGCCTCCTGTACTTGCCCCAACCAGGATTGAACGGCAGTCTAGGTGTGTGCCCTGACTGGGAATCGAACTCAAAACCTCTTGGTGTCCAGGACAACACTCCAATCAACTGAGCCCCCGGCCAGCGCTAATCCTCTGCTTTGTGGCTGTAAAGAGAGACAGGCAAGGAATTCCCAGGGCTGGCCGATTCCTTCAGCAGCCAGAATCACCCTTTGGAGGTGGCCTCCTCTGGAGACAGCGGCTGGTGAGGCTCAGAGAGAGGGACCCTACCACCAGACTTCCAGTCCTGGCGGTCTTTGACCAGGCAAATGGGACCAAAACTGCCCCTCAAGGGCCCCTGTGGGCTGGCCCCTGGCCCACCGCTGTGGTCAAGATGGACAGGAGGCCGGCCCTGTGTTTGAGGGAACACAAAAGCCTTCCCACGTGGCGGGGTTTTTCCTGCCTTAGGCAAGGGGATGGAGCTCCTGCAGTGACTGAGACTGGATTTCCTGCCAGCTCAGTGGAATGGCAAGCTTGATTTTAATTGACTTATTGCAAATGAAGGTGACACTTCCTGCACCCCTGGGTTAGCAGCTAATTTATTCCTGAGACGGTTGTAAATTCCCAGCAGGCCTGGAACACAATTCAGATGGATGGGAAATAAATATCTGCTTGTTTCCCTCCTCCTTTCATTCAAACAGCCTTCTTTAAAAAAAAAAATAATAATAATAATAATTATATATATATATATATATATATATATATATATATTATTGATTTCAGAGAAAAAGAGAGAGAGAGAGAGAGAGAGAGAGAGAGAGAGAGAGAGAGAGAGAGAGAGAGAGAATGAGTGAGAATCATTGATCGGCTCCCTCATGCACACCACCCCCCCTCCCCCCCCCACTGGGGATCAAGCCCACAACCCGGGCATGTGCTCTCAGCCAGAACTGAACCTGGAATCCTTCAGTCTACAGGCCGACGCTCCATCCACTGAACCAAACTGGCCAGGGCTCAAACAGCCTTCGTAAGCACTGTGAAATCTCCGGGGGACAGAGGTGAGAGGCCCACCCTGTCCTCCGGAGCGCTGGCCAGTGAGGGAGACGGGCAGGGCAGCAGCCAGGCGCTGTGCCGGGTTCTCTGGGAGGGGAGGGTGCAGAGGGCGGCAAGGAGGGGACAGAGCCCTGCCTCCTGGGCCAGGCCATTTTCACTGCCTGGTGGTACCTTATGGAGCGCCACCGGGAGTTTGAAAGGTGCTAATGGCACAGAGTGGGGCTTGATGAGAGACCACGGAGGAATTGTGAAACTGGATGAAAGCGGTGACTGAAGTGGAGTTCCTCAGAGCTGGGGGTAGGGGGGAAGGGAGTACATTGCTCCCACCTTCAGTCTCCATCCAGGCGACTGCCCCCACTGGGGCCCCTCCCCTGTCTGGCCCTGACTTCCAGTTGCTCATTCACTAGGTTGCATTTAGTAGGGGTTTTCTGGGTACAGACAGCACTGAACTGGGTGAGAATCAGATCAACTGAGAAGAGAGTGGATAAAATGAAAAGTGGCATTAAAAACAAATAAATACGTGCATCTGTACATCCATAAAGTGAAAGTGGCAGCATCAGTCCCCAAGTCCCGTGAGGGAAACAAAAACGAAGCTGAACGCCCCGCACTTGCTCCTGCAGGAAGGGTGAGGCGCACCTAGGCCCGGGGGACCACAGAGGATGCTCTGACGTGAAGATGCTTGAAAACCATTAAGCAAGGGAGCGAAGGGACGCTCATTGCTTTTTAACTGAGATATAATTGACATGTCACATTACATTAAAAGGACACGCTCATTGCTTTTTAACTGAGATATAATTGTGAGTGGCCCATCGTGTCCTTGCCAGCACTGGCTCTCCTGAAGCCCCTTCCGGGCCCCTAGCACAGCGATTTTCAGCCGGTGTGCCATAAGAATCTTTAAAACACGCAATACCTGAGTATTTAGTCAGGGGCACCTTTCCCTGAGGTTGTCAAATTTTAAAAATGACAACGGCCAACACAAAAATAGCCTTCCAGCCTGGCTGGCGTGACTCAGTGGTTGAGTGTCAACCTAACTGAGATATAATTGACATGTCACATTACATTACTGTTAAACAAACAAGACAACAAGCCCAAAATGGAGTCACTTATGCTAAGCCCCATGTCACCAAACAAAGATTTAACTTAATTACAGTGTCAGCTCCCCTCGAAATGGAATATTAAACTCGTCCATCCAGAGCCCCCTGATCAGCACTAGTTCCTCTAAGTAACCTGCCTGAGAGAGCCCTGCCATTCCCTAAATGAAAGTGACCTTGTCACGTCACTTCTGCTAGGACAGCATCCATGTGCGGCTCCCTCTGCCTTTAATTGTGTTTCATTTCTTCCCGCTTCTCAGAGAGCCTCTCTGTGCTACACTGGATGCGGCCCAATTTTTTAATCATTGAATAAAGCCAATGAAATCTTTAAAATGTGCTCAGGCTGAAACTGGTTTGGCTCAGTGGATAGAGTGTCCGCCTGCGGATTCAAGGGTCCCAGGTTCAATTCCAGTCAAGGGCATGTACTTTGGTTTTGGGCACATCCCCAGTAGGGGGTGTGCAGGAGGCAGCTGATTGATGTTTCTCTCTCATCAGTGTTTCTAACTCTCTATCCCTCTCTCTTCCTCTCTGTAAAAAATCGATAATATATATATATTTTTAAAAATAAAAACAATAAAATGTGCTCAGCTGAATCTTGTTTTCAACCTTAGTTTGGGGTGTACAACATAATGATTTGATGCTTGTGTATATTATGAAATGATCACCACGGTCAGTATAGTTAGCACCCATCAGCACACAGGTGCAAACTTTTCTTCTTGCGATGAGAACTTTTAGGATTTGTGGTATTTTAAATGTGCAATCCCGTATTCACTAACTGCGTTCGCCATGCTGGGCTTGGCACCCCAGGACTTGTTTGACAGTGGGGGGCTTGGTGCCTTTTGACCCCCTCATATTCACATTCTTAAGCTCCGAGGCCAACGTGAAGAGACCACAGAGGAATAGGACATATGAGAAACTTCCCACAAACTCCCAGGATACAGGTTGTAAAATGCAGCGTTTCTCCTTTGCACAGATCTCCTGCAGAACCTTCGGAAGCGGTCTCGCCCTGTCCTTTCCCCGCTGCTCGGGCGTCTCCTTGCACGAGAGTAAATTAATAAGTCAGGAGTTAGGACCCAGAGGTCCGTTGGAGCCTTGCAGGACCTGGCAGCTGACGGGAAATCAATGAAGTGCACTTCACGAAACATCACCCTGATGTGAGATGGACGGAGGCTGCTTTCTCCCGCTTCAGGTGTCTGTGTTCCCCTTGGGCTCCGATTCAGGCTCGGAACCACTGCGCTTCCCTCCCAGAACCCCCTCTCCCGGTGGAAACGCGGTGTGATTAACAGGAAGAAATTTTCCTCTTAACATGACATCATGACGCCGGCAGGTTTTACCCTGGTGCTCGTCCTCCTGGGTGTCACTCCCTCAGGTAAGCTCAGGTTAAACTTTGTCGTTGTGGGAGTTATTCAGGCAAGGAGGGTGGAACTATGGTGCTGAGAATGTTAGAATATAAGTGTCAGGTATAGGCTCCTATAGGGTAACCTTTAGGATGTGGCTTCGAAGAATAATTCTATCAATTCTGTAGATAGCTAGAGAAATCATATCCAGGAATCTCACAATGTTTATGCTTTGGTCATTCATCGCGGTATGCCTTTTGAATCATTATGAGCTATTAGGGAGATATAAGAGCAGGGGAAATATTACCACATGCACGGCATGTCACTCAGAGAATGGTAAAAATATTTGGCACAGAAATTTATTGGATTGACATTTTTATATCCTAGCTACTAATAATCATCGTTATCTGTGTATAGATACTTTTGTCTAATCCAGCTTTTAGACTTATATAAATATTTTAATAATTTTGTGTATATGGGCATATTTAGTATGCTTGTACATTACAATGAAACAAAAATATGTAGCAAATGTCTGTGAACATGTGTGAGCTTTCTGTGACTATTATCCACCTGAAAACTGAGACATTTTTAATAAAGAGGACAAGTAAAAGGAGTGAGAGGGAAAGAGAGAAAAGAAAAAAAAGGAAAGAAGCAGAAAACTGAAAACTTTAGGAGAAAGTGGTCTTTTATCCCTGCCGATGTCATTTCACTTTTCATGGAACTTAGGAGCAGTAAGCCCTTCTAGAGCCCCAGAAACCAGGGAGAGCCAGGAGCCACATGGTGAGGACACAGTGCCACCCATCCCCTTAGCAATGTGTACTTATTTGTCACCAGTGTTTCTGCCACGTTTGATTATTGCAATTTTCAGATGGAGAACCAGAGGTTCTGACATAGATTTGCCCAGATCCTGAAACAAATCCTCGATTTATAAGGCGAGGGCCACGAGGCATACAAACACACACCTAGACGTGATCATATCTTCCACGCTGTAGCCTTTCCCCCTGCTGGGACTCAGAAACAGAGCGATTTCTAAGCGCAGAGAGCAACAAACCCACCCTCAAATATCACTGCATTTGGTCTCTGCAAAGTCCGAAATGCAATTTGCCAACCACAAAGATAATCGTCAACTTCTGTGTGTGTTAGCATCCAATTAGTGTGCCTGCATCTAATGGGTTGTTTTTTTTTTTGCCCTCACTTACTGTGAAAAGATTGATTCTTATCATGTTTTCTCCGGGGAAATCATCTCACTGGTTAGCATGGGGAGGGAGCACAAACCCTCTTGGTTCAACCTATGCATCCTCCTCCACGCACAGTGGCGGTTACGTAAAACATTGGACTTGGAGGAGAACCTGGCCCCTTTCCCCATGGTATAGGCTGCAAGAGTCTGAGAGTGTATACTGAGCTGTACACACCGGCCATAGCTCTGTAAGAAATCTATGCAATAACCTAGGAACTCTCGTAGTTGTGAATGTTTCTAGATCCACTGGAGTCTATTTCTATATTTAGACCTGCACACCTTTCCTTAAGTCCTTTACTACTCATTGTAAAGACATCATTTCTTTGGGTCACACAAATTACAAGGAGCCACCCCTCCTTTTTCTATCTCTGGCTGTGGTGAAGAGGATAATGGTGTGTGGCCACGTGACACTTCTTACATTGCTAAATCATGCTCTGTGTGTTTGTGTCTGCTCCCAGAAACAGGAACTGTATCTTACTCATCTTCCCATCGCTCTTGCCACATGACAACGTGTGTTTATTCATTCAATAGATATTGACTGAGGATCTCCTGTATGCTAGGAATGGTTTTAGCATGGGGGATGCAAGAGGGAATAAAACACAGCCATTCTAATGGCCTCTCCTGCTAGCGAGAATCCATTAACGACGTATATCGGCTTTCACTCTGCAGGCTAGCTCTGTGTGTTAACAGAAAAGGCTATTGTGCTTGTGGTATGCATTTGGGGGTGCGGGGAGAGGACAAGGTGGTGATCATGGAAAGCAAAGCCCAAACATACCAAAAGATGTCAACACAAAAAACGCACGTCTCTCAAACATACCTGCTGAAGTTTGAGATTCTTCGATTATTTCTTTACACTCCCAGCTGAGAATTAACAATGAAGTGTTGTCTTCAATAAAACCGTAAGTAATCCTGGGGAGTGTCATCTATCAAGTCTTATCAATTACTCCTACCTCGGTGTCAGTGAGTTTGTGAAAACGTTGCTGAAGTGTGGCTATGAGGGTGAGGAGAGAGCAGAGGGGCTGAGAGCCCGGAGAAAGGAGAGGAAACGAGATAAAGAAAAAAATAAAGAAAGCATAAGGTCAAGCCATAGGTTCCAAAGAAACATTTCTTTGTCTCGAGCTGCTGCTGGGCGCCTCATCCAAATGAATCTTTCCCGGTTCCACTTACTGGGGTGGAGAGAGCTCTGGCCTCCTCACGGGGTGACCCCTGTCCAGTCCCTGGATAGCATTAGGCACCGTTACCTCGACGCCTGCTCTCTTCCGTGAGTGGCAGCCGGGAGGGAAGGTCTGTCCTCTAATCAGCGGTGCATCCTCACCTTCGACCTTCTTTTGTCTCTTTGGGACAGCGAATACCTGACTGTAATGGGTTACCTTGTGTGGCTGCTTCGTGAACGTAGAGATCCCAGAAGCTTGGGACGTGTGTGCGTTGTAGGGCCCTTACCAATCTTCCACTCTGTGTTTTTACTGGGCGAGGTTAGCTGTTTTGCTTAAGATCATGCGGCTTGGAATCGGGACCAGAATTGGTGTCTCTGGATCTGAGCGCAGCGCCTCTCGATGTTAAGTAAATATTTGTTGGATTCTCATTCTAATGAGTGACAAGTTTGGCAGCGGGCTCAGCATCCTGAGCCAAGAGCAGCGTTCCGTCCTGGAGTGTTTTCCCAGTCGGAGTTCCACTTGAAGGAAATATCCAAGGGCTCTCCATCCCTGTCTGTTCGAGGGCCCTGCCTGTGCTCTCTCTCCGGTGCCGCCTCTCTCTGCCCTGCCCGTGGAATTGCTTGTCTAGTCCCAAGGGAAATATCTTAAAGAAAAATGAGACAAAGACTAAGCAGGGAGAGGGAAAGGAGAAGAGAAATGGGAGGGACTAGGGTTAGGGGAGAAACAAAATGCCTTTTACCAAAAGAGATGGTGAAAAGCTTTAAACAGGCAGCACACATCCTCTGAAGATGTGCATGAGACTACGTGTGTGTGTTGGGGGAAGAGGAATGAGCAGGCAAAGCAGAACTCAAAGCAAGGAAATGTGGGAGGACCATGGCCAAGTCTGAAACCAGAAAGCATTGGGTGTCCACCTGCAAGGAGAGTGATCACAGAGAGAGGCCCGGGGAAAGCAGTCTGCCCGTGCCTATGGCAGCAGAGGGAGGTTCAAGGAGGATCCGAGTCCACAGGCACCAGCGTTAAGTGTCTCCCTGAGATCAAACGAAGGTGAGCAGTGACCTGGTTTTAGAACATCGTTCCTCCCAGAAACAGGTCGCTTTTAAGAACAGTAAAGTGTTGCCAAAACCGGTTTGGCTCAGTGGATAGAGCATTGGCCTGTGGACTGAAAGGTCCCAGGTTCGATTCCAGTCAAGGGCATGTACCTTGGTTGAGGGCACGTTCCCGGTGGGGGGTGTGCAAGAGGCAGCTGATCGATGATTCTCTCTCATTGATGTTTCTCTCTATCCCTTTCTCTTCCTCTCTGTAAAAAGTCATTGTATTTGACTTCATTGTATTTCATCATTGTATTTCAACATTGACTTCATTGTATTTCATCAATGATTCTCTCTCATTGATGTTTCTCTCTATCCCTTTCTCTTCCTCTCTGTATTTTCCAAACAGTAAAGTGTTTGGAAAATACAATGCTAACAGCAACACAGCAACAACAATAGCATAGCAGTGAACATCTGCCCATAGATGTGAATTGTTGGGACAGTTTTTATGTGACGGGAAGGAGCCCAGAGCGGTAGGAACAGTCTTTCGCCTCCTCAATCCTCAAAGTCTCATGGGCTGGTGGAAAGACTGTGGACTTGGGAGTCAGGAGCCACACCCACCACTTATTACCACATCAGGATGACCCTGGGCAAGTCACTTCCCTTCTGGGTACCCCTGAACCTTCACCTGTAAAATGAGGGCCTAGATCTTCTTAGAGGTTCTTCCCAGTTCTGTTGTCTTTGCTTCTTTATCGTTTTACTTTTCCTTCTTCTTTAATTAATGCTGAAAGCAGTTATAAATATAAATGCTCTCCCACCCTCCTGGTCAGGAAGCTGACTTGGGGGGTGCTCACCCTCAAAGAGAAGCTTCTTGGTTTTGTCCATGTACCTTAGTATAGTGGTCTTTCCTAATTAATTTAAACTATATTCATTGGCAAAAATGTTGTTTGCACACAGTTTTTCAGGAATGCATTTATTCCTTAACACAGACAACCACCTGTCCTGGTAGTCTTGAGCACATCTGTGATTCTGTATCCTCCAGCGCTGGGAGCCAGGGTCCCACGGCCTTTCCCCCTGTGCACAGAAAGCTCCATTAGGCCTTTTATTCATTTATTCATTCGTTTGTTCATTCACTAAACGTCATCCAATATTTACTGAGGCCCAGGCCTCAAAAAAAAAAAAAAAAAATCAATGGTGGAATCACTTTTTCTTCCTCAGAATGGTCTAGTCTACAAAACAGACAAACCAGAAACATTTCCAGTGCTGTGCTCCATATCTGCTCCAGTAACATCAATGGCTCCAGCTTTCATTTTCAGAGAGTTCAGGAAGCTTGAAGATATGAGGCAAAAGCATGACACCTTTGGGTCTGTTTTGGTCAATACAGACTTGGGGTAGTCAGCATGGGCCACCCTATCAAAATACTGGACTACAGATTGGTGGTGGCTTAACAAATTTACCCTCACAGCCCTGGAGGTTAGGAATCCATGATCAAGGTGCCAGGAATTCAGTTTCCAGTGAGAACTCTCTTTCTGGCTTGTAAACAGCTGCCTTCTGGCTGTGTCCCCACGTGGCTACTCCTCAGTGCTTACGTGAAGGGAGGTCCCTGGTCTTTCTCCTCTTCTTACAAGGACATCAATCCTGAGGATGAGTGAGGTCCCACCCTGATGACCCCACTTCTCCTGAATGACTTCCTTATAGGCCCTACCTCCACATATAGTCACATTGGATATAACGTGACTTCAACGTGAAGTTGAAGGGACACATTCACCCCATAACAGCCAGTATAGATTTATGTCTCTCCCCTCCTCCCCCCACTTGATTCAGACAGTCACTCACCTTCTGACATTGGGAACATGGATCAAAGCATATGCAGGTCCCTGAAGGAGCAGATCTGCTCATTTCCCTTTGGGTCCTACTATCCTCAAGGAGGGTATGGCTTGAGAAGGGGAGGATGTGACCTATCCTGGGAATGTCAAGGTCCTAATTTTATTTAATTTTATTTTTTATATATTTTATTGATTTTTATTTTTTATTTTTTTATTTTTTTTACAGAGAGGAAGAGAGAGGGATAGAGAGTTAGAAACATTGATGAGAGAGAAACATAGATCAGCTGCCTCTTGCACATCCCTGGAGATGTGCCCACAACCAAGGTACATGCCCTTGACCAGAATCGAACCTGGGACCTTTCAGTCCGCAGGCCGACGCTCTATCCACTGAGCCAAACCCATTTCGGCAAGGTCCTAATTTTAGAACCCCCATCCCAACATGCAACCTCACCTCCCTTCAAAGTGAGAGTAAAATTCTCCTTTCAGGAAAGAGGTCTCTTTTATGTCCCAAATTATAATGGCTCAGGATTGTCCACGCTAAGAAGTGTGTGTGTGTGTGTGTGTGTACACATGCTTGCGTGCATCTTGGTAAAGACATTATTCAGTGTCTCCGCTCCCTGGAGTGTCTCCATCTGTTGTGAGATGCTGTCTTGTGCAATATTTACTCATTGGGCTGAGCTGGGACACAGCTGCTTTCGGGGAAGGCCAGTACTCTGCCACTCTCAGAAGTTGGAACTGCTCTCAGATGCACGTGACAGTGGCCCCAGCAGCTTAGCTAAATAGGGGGATTGCTTTTCTCACATACACACCGTGAAATTTAGAGGAAGGCAGTCCAGGGCTGCTGGGGCCATCCTGCAATGCCATCAGGGACCCAGGCTGCGTCAGGCTTTCTATCCTGCCCCCGCGTATGTGCCGCTTTCATCAGGCTCACTTGCATGTTTGGGTGGCTAATTCTCAGGACACCGTGTCCCAGTTCCAGGAAGGAAGAAGAAAGGGCAAAGGGTAAAAGATAAAAGGTGAAAAGGTGCACGTTGGACCTCACTCAGTGCCTTCTGTTTGTTTCCCACTTGGCCACAGGGGTCATACGGCCATTCCTCGCTGTAAGGGAGCCTGAGAGGGAACATTTTAAGAGGGCAAAATTTAGCATCGGGCAGTAAGGAAGAAGAGGTAAATGGCTGTTGGGCAGGGAACTAACAGTGTCTGCCACAAACAATCTCCCTTTGAAGGAGGGGCTGCCTGCACAGGGGAAGCCAGAGAAAAGAGAACAGCTGTGGCCCTCCTGCTTCTCTCCTCTCCCTAGCAATTCAGCTCTGGCCCAAACTCTCCAAACACTGCTCAGCAAACAAAAGCCAAGCAGCTAACTGCATTGTTATTCAATGTTTTTTTTTAGCTCGGCAGCCATTATGTGCCAAGCAGTGCCCATAGGAGCTAGGGAGAAAGCCCTAGAGCTGGCATTTCCTAGTGGATCAGACAGATAATAAACAAATAAACATATAACATGATCAAGCCTCTGACAGAAGAGACATTTCCATAAAGGGATAGAGTGTCGGGGAGAGATCTTTAGATCCTGTAGCCTGGAACGACCTCTTTAAGAAGAAGGCATTTGAACGAAGAAGGGTGAAATTGAAGGAGTGAGTGTGGGGCAAGAGCCTTCCAGTGGCACCACACTGGCCTGTTCTGGAAAGAGCAGATGGGCCTGAGGCACTAGGAGGGGTGGGGTGGGGGGAGCGCGGGGCGTGGTTGCAGGCAGAGGGGAGAGGGGAGCAGCCACAGAGGGTCTGAGAGACCGTGGTAACAACTTGGGATGTTTTTCCTAAATTTGATGGGAAGCTACTTGGTGGGTTTGAGCAGGAACCAACATGCTTTTCAGCTTTGAAGAGATGTCTCCAGCTGCTGGGAAGGAAATGGACTGTGAAAGGAACAAGAGTGGGAGAAGGTAGGAAGCAGAACTGGAATCTGAGAGAGAGAGAGAGAGAGAGGGAGCGATGACGGAGTTCGGGATCCGGTGGTGATCCCCAGGGAGATGGTGGGAAGCAGTCACTGCTGTGATGGATTCTGAAGGAAGTCAGACAGGGTGTGGGGTGGGGAAACTCGGGAGGTGCAGCCTGAACAATGAACACCTCTTCCCTCCGAAGGCTTCGGGGAATTTCCATCCCCTCCCTCCGGCTCCGTTTCCAGGAAGGTTCTAGGGCCTTTACAGAGCGCTGCCCTGGCAGCCGCCCAGCTCCGCTTACTGAGAGTGTTGAAGCATCAAAGTTTAAATAATTAAGCATACATGTAAGGTTTTATCTCTCTCCACCGCTCATTTGCATTTTCATATGCTTTCTAAAGCGAAGGAGAAAAGCGTGGAGGCAGGCACAAAGCCTTTCCCATCCGTACCCCTGTTCACTCCAAAGAGCCACGTGGGTGCATTTCAAATTTCCATTCCCTTAGTAAGTGGACGGTGTCATGCACATGTGGGGAATGTGTGCCATCTTGCTTTTCTTCCTACGAGGAACTTTGGGGTTTTGACCTGGTAAAGTTGGGGGGTGCCCTGCATGTGATCATTTCTCATAATGTGTATCTCTCAGTGGGGAGAAAAAGTTTTCTATGGTAAAGCATGCCATGCAGGATGCATTGCTGTAGGATATATAGGATGTCAACTATATGAAATATACTTAAAGCAACAACAAAGAGCTTCCTTGTTAAATTTGATAGCATAGCACTGAAAAAGAGACAAAACATATCTCTAGACTGCATCCCTGGAGAGTTAAAAGTTGGGATTAGAGAGTTTTTCCCATTCCCCCACATTTAGGGGCAGAGAAGAGCCGTGGACCCAGGTTGTGGACCAGGGAAGGTCTTCATGAAGGAAGACATTCTCAGGAGGAAGTGAGAGAACCGCACAGGGGCCATGGCGGGGTTGAGTGGGTATGTGCTGGAGGCCTGGAAAGTGGTCCTGACACACTCCCTTCATCGGTTCATTCATTAAATGGGTATAAAATGAGCACCTGCTAGGGGCCAGGCACTGTCCTAGGTGCTGGATAAGCTTCGTCAAATAAAACGGACATTGTGCCAGCCATCATGGAGCTCAAGGGGAGGATGGACAATGACAAATACTGTAAACAACAAATTGTGATAAGATGTGCTGAAACCGGTTTGGCTCAGCGGATAGAGTGTCAGCCTGTGGACTGAAAGGTCCCAGGTTCCATTCCAGTCAAGGGCATGAACCTTGGTTGCAGGCACATCCCTATGTGGGGCATGCAGGACAGCTGATCGATGTTTCTAACTCTCTCTCCCTTCCTCTCTGTAAAAAAAGATCAATAAAATATATATATTTTTAAATTGTGATAAGATGTATAAAGAGGCCAATCGGGTGCAGTGATGAGCAATAATACCTGGACAGAGCCCATGTCTGTAAGGAGGTGAACTGTGAGGTAGAGAGTCAGGGGGTGACTGCAGATGATCTTTTGAGGTCAAGGTGTTGACATCATGATGTGAAGTTCCTGTGAGAGTCAAGTTCTGGGTTAAGTTTACAGTTGACTTTTAGCCGTGCGTTGTGGGCATGGAGAATGGTTAAAGAGAACCCTGGCTCCCTCAAAACTGTCTTTGCTGAATTAGACTGTGTGGGAATACAAGGTGTCCCACCCCAAAATGTGTACACACTTTAACAGCTGACGGCTCAATTTTTAAAATGAAAGGTATTTTCACAAACACGGCCCTTATAATTACTTAATGTGTGTATACATTTGGGGGGGACGCCCTGTGTGTGAAAGTTCAGCAATAGGATGCGAAAGCAACCGTGATGCCTCTCCCATTAACTCAGGCTCCCTCGCGATTCTAGCAGCAGCCGCAGAATTCAGTTCCATCGCCGAAACCGAAGACGCCCTCCTCAGGCATTTGTTCCAAGGCTATCAGAAGTGGGTTCGCCCTGTGTTCCATTCTAACGACACCATAAAAGTCCACTTTGGATTGAAAATATCTCAGCTTGTCGATGTGGTGAGTAATCCTTGACACGAACCCAAGAAGGACATGCATTCCTTAACCTGTTTGTGAGCCTGAGGTTTTGTTTTGCTTTCTTTCCCCACGGCTGCCATTTCGATTTTAAAAATAACTTAGGGGGTGGCGGGGGGGAATCTGCCCCAAGAAGCCAGTGAAATGATCCGAGGAAAGAATGAGGAGTGTCACGGAGTGCGTTTTCACTGCGGCACTGTTCGTGAGGGGCCTTCCTGCTGGAGGGTGGGTATGGTGGCGAGGATGGATGGGCACGGCAGCTGACAGGTTTGCCGTGGGCACCCGGGGTGAGGAGCAAGGGCAGGGGAGAAGGAGAGCTGAACCCAGGCTCATCCAGAGTCCTCTCAGCTGAGGGAGGGCTGGCAGGGGCCACTGCAAAGAAGAGGGCAGGTACCCTGTTTCCCCGAAAATAAGACAGTGTCTTATATTAATTTTTTCTCCCAAAGTTGCACTAGGTCTTATTTTTCAGGGGATGTCTTATCTTTCCATGCACTAGGTCTTATTTTCAGAGGATGTCTTATTTTCGGGGAAACACAGTAGATGATGACAGCCAGACCCAGTGCCTAGGCAATCCCACCATCCTCCTGGGGCCCCTCAGGCCCCCATACCTTTCCCTGACCTCACCCATACTTCAGGATTCTCTGCTAATTTTCTTGCTGAGCTCATACTTCTGCCATGATTGCATTTCTGGTAAATCGGTGAACTGTAACAACCCAAATCCTGCAAAATCATCCTGCTATGGTCCCAAAAGTCCCATAATAATCATCCCACATTACCCAAACCCCCACCACCACACACGCACCCACCCAAGCTGACTTTACGCCCAGGAGTCCTTCTAGAAAATCGTGCACAGCCCATCTCCAATTTAGCTAACATTAAATTCTACTTGGCATCCCGAAAGTGCTTCCTGGGTTATGCAATTATATATAAACTAGTAGCCCTGTGCATGAATCCATGCGCCAGTAGGTCGCTGCCACCCTCCTGTAACTCCCCTCCCCCTCCCCCTTCTAGCTTGCTGCCCTGCCCCTCCTGTAGCTCTCCACCGCCTTCTTGTAGTTCGCTGCCCCACCCTCCTGCAGATCCGTGATCAGGTCATTACTCAGTTGTTTGTTATGGATAATACGTTATATAGGATATATAGGATACCACCACAATGAACTGCTACTTGCTTCGATTATTTTTTTTCATTTTAAGCAAGATATGCATAATATTCTAGGATCCATGCATTTAACTTCTTAAGTTCTTAAGTTGAGAATTCTTTACATTTTGAACACCTCAAAGGTAAGATTCAGAGAGATCATTCTGACAAAAAAAAAAAAAATGCAACTTCACTTAAATTGAATTTACATCTTTTTAATTGTCATTTTCTTAGGATGAAAAGAACCAACTGATGACAACAAATGTGTGGCTCAAACAGGTAAATGTCAACTCAAGAATTGTACTTGCCAACCTAATTATTTCTATTCTTTAGAAAGGCTCCCATTCAAAAAGTAATTATTTTAAAGAGTATATTGGGCTCTTTCTTAAATTTATTTTTTTAAATATGTTTTTTGTTGATTTTTAGAGAGAATGAAAAGGAGAGAGAGGGAGAGAGAGAGAGAGGGAGGGAGAGAGAGAGAGAGAGAGAGAGAGAGAGAGAGAGAGAGAGAGAGAGAGAGAAACATCAGTGGTTTACCTTCTGTATGACACCCCAACTGGGGGTTGAACCCACAACCTTTTGGTGTATGGGATGATTCTCTAACTAACTAAGGCAGGGTGGGTCTATAATTTTTTTTTTTTTTTAACTTTTTTGCAAGAGTCAGAAAGCAGGTCTTGAGCACTCACAGCGGTGCCTTCTGCTGTTGTTGTCCCTTCTGTTGGACTGCACACTGGGTGGGCGGTGGGAAGATGGCTAATCATGAGACCTGGGCACCAGACCCTGAGTGAAAAGGGGGTAAAGGATCCGGGGTGCGACGTTTCCCCATTGAAGGTACTGCACCTGGATGAGAAAATTGATGACGTTAAGTTCTCCCTCACTCCACTGGTCCTCCCTGGGAAAAACCTACCCCCAGGTGTCTTGTGGTTCCCACGGAGAGAAAGCAGGAAATGACAGGAGGAGTCCGCCACCAGTTTCAGAATAAAGAGTCGCCTCAAACAAAGCAATGAACATGGTTTTCTGATATAACTGAACATGTGTTTGAATGGTCTTCAGCGCTCTGCCTAGGTCCGTGGTCCACAAACTGGGATCGCGAGCCGCAGTTTGCCGCTCTGTTGACTAATGAGTTTGCCGACCACTGACTGACCTAGACTCTCTATTCCAATAACTACAAGCTATTGTTGTTCCTTGTGATTAAACTCCCATCCCAGTGGTCGGCAAACTCATTAGACAAGAGATCGGCAAACCAAGGCTCTCGAGCCAGTTTGTCGACCAGTGGGTGATTGCTTTAGCTCAACTACTCCTGTTTCCTAAACTTGGTCTCAAGTTGTCAGAAAATCATTACCTTTCAAACCCCGATGTTTCGCCTGTTATCTGAAAGGAGAAAATATTGGCACTTCCTTGATAGGAGGCAAGCAGGCTGGTTTAATTGCTAATTTTTTGTTTTTGTTAGTAATTACTCATTAGCAACTACTTATTAGCAATTACTCATTTTTTAATGAATGGTCAGATTTAAAATCTTCTCGGTGGCACTGTCTTAAATATCTCTCTTAGTTTTAATGTGCAAACATAATACTGTTGATTTCTTTATATTGAAATAAATTATTTATTTATTCTGGTTTAGCAGACATTGTTTGGATCTCTCTGCTAATAGTTTATAAGGAACAATGGATAAAGGGAGCTGTGAGAAGAATCCACAAGCTTCATTTAGTGTCATCAAGTTGCTTCCACCCAAAAGCTTTGATCAGCGAGAGCATATTTACTGCTTTCAGTTTCTCTGGTTCTTTAATTGGCCGCTATGTTAGCAACCTATGAGATAGATATGCATATTATTTTAATTGCAAATAAAGGTCTTCAGGAGAAAATAATAAACTGAGAGTGTAGCTATAAAAATATAATCTAAATATAATCCGTATTCTCCTACATACTTATCTCTAGCCTTGGAGACTTATCCCACTTTTACACTTTAGAGGCTGTGGAATTTGGAGGTATTTTGAGTAAATAAAAATGAAAAAGAAGTCCTGCGTTTGAACTTGCAGGGGAGAGCAGAAAAACTTCCCTGTAAATAGGCTGAGGAAGAAAAACAAAACAGCAAACACATTTGCTGCTTCACACACTCCTTCTCCAACTGCTCCTCACAGTTAAGCTTTTATTGATCTGCCACATGCAACGTTGATCCAGAGACCCTTGTCCTGTGAAACTGAGATAGTAGGTGCCTTATACCTTCTTGAGATTTTGAAAGCAAGAAAACGTCAGCCAAAGAACACCGTTAAGACATGAAGGGAAGAAGCCTTGGGCTCTCAGGCCTTCACTGAAGCTTTGGAAATGGCTTCCAGCAGTGATGCCAATGGAATCAGTGACCTGGAGAATGCCTCCAGGTCAGGACAGAATCAAAATCTAAAACCTCCAACAAAACGGAGCAAGAGAGATCCGTAGGAGTGGGGCCATCTGGAAAAGCCAGCCTGCTGACTGTGGCCCCCAAGCCATAGACGTGGATTGCATTTTGTGTGCAGAGGGTTGTCGTATCTCTTACCTCACATACACTCTTGATTAGCAAAGCAGGCACCATTGTCCACGTTTACGGAGACAGAGAACCTAGTAGCTCATTCAGCTGGAACCTGGGTTTCCCTGGTTTGGACCTTCTCTGCCACATTCAGCCTTTGCACTATAAACGTTAAGACCTGTTTCCAAATCATAGGAGTCAGAGTAGCAAAACAACTGCAAGTTTCATAGAATCGAAAAGAAAATGATCAAAGCTGCTCCACTCACACAAACTGGATTAGGAGTGGAATAGCACAACAGGTATCCTATATAATAGAAGGCTGATATGCAAATTGTCCCCTCCACCAGGAGTTTGACCTGGAGTTCAACCAGTCTGTGGCCCCTCCCCCAGGCCTGGATTAGTCCCCCACAATCGGCCAACTGCTTGTGGCCCCTAACTCCACTAGCCCCAACCCCTCTTGGCCTCCCCACCCCAATTGGGGGTGGAGCCAGCCAGACTCCACCAGTGCACAAAGTTGTACACCGGGCCTCTAGTTGGTTAATAAGTGCTATCTTATGGCACAAACAATACAGGAGCAAAAAAACGATGAATTCTATGGCATGAGTGACAGGCTGCATGGAATAGGAGGCATTTGAACTCTGCCATGATGTTGCTTTATTGGGTTTAAAATTTTTTAAATATTTTTAAGGGTGAAGGAAAGATGAAGTGTACAAGAAAAATGGACAATGAAAACAATAAAATTGATGTAAAAAGAAAAGCGATCATTGGCTTTTTACATAGATCTCAGTTTCAGAGCAGCTAATAACAATAATACCTAATATTGATTGACTGCTAAGTACTTAGGCACTATGCTAGGTGTTTCATGAGAAAGAATTCAGTTAATTCTCACAGCCACCTTATAAATTAAGCTCTGTTAGGATTCCCACTTTGCAGATGGGAAAACTAAGGACTGGCACATTGAACTGTCCAATTTCCACACTGCTGAGTGAAGTCTGGCTTATATAGAGAAATCCTTCCCTTCCTCAGACGGGAAGGAGCCGAGGGAAGACACCCAGTTCTCACAGTGTTATCTGTCTCTGTATAGGCTAGTTTCTAAGCATGGATTCCTCAGTCTCTAGGACATCTCATGAGCTTGGTCTAGAATAGGGGTGTCGAACTCAATCAGAGAAGGGGCCAAAATCTAAAATCCAGCCTAAATCGCGGGCCGAATGGTTTACTGAACAGTCATAAACTGTCATTGTGATGGAAACGCAGCGGAGTGCAGTGATGACAGCGCGGTGCGGGCCACATTGCAAGGCCTGGCGGGACGGATTTGGCCCGCGGGCCTTGTGTTTGACACATGTGGTCTAGAAAAAACAGTTAGGAGAGAATGAAGTAAGGATTCATAGCATCTTTCATTCATTGCACAGGGTTTATTGAGATTCTGCTAAGTGCCAGGTGCTCTGCTAGGTCTTGGACACACAAAGAATACAACACAGCCCTGCCTTTAAGGAGAGAAGACAGTTTTAATTGTGTTAAAAAAAAAAACTACTGTAATATGATAAACGCTATGAAGAAAGTATACATAAGGAACTATGAAAAATGAGACAGGGAGAAAATCAGGGAGGGCTTCCAAGGGGAGGAGATATTTAAACTGGGTCTTACAGAATCGATAGCCAAAAAGGTGGGGAAGTTGTGAGTCACCTGAATAGCATTCCCGGTAACAAGACTTTCCAAAGCTCTCACACCGGAGCAAACCTCTTGGAAATTCTTTCCCTGAATAACTCTGCTAAATGTACTCTCTAATTTATATCTATGGAGAGGATAAAATGCGATGTAATTGGAACAAAAGTATGTTCCATGGTAGCATATGCAACTGAGATACTTGTTTTTTTGTGCTGTTGTGGTTGTTTGTTTTTCTTTCTCCCAATTCTTCTGTCTTATCCTCTATTTCATAGTTCTTGGTTATATTTAGACATTTCTCTTCTTTCCTCTCAAGCACAAATTTAGAGACATCAGGATAAAGTCCTTTACGTGGAGCTATTTTTACTTTTGTTTATTGATTTTATTTTGCAAATTCGTTTGTCTTTCTCCTTTGTGCTCCCAGAGAGAAATCAAAACCCTACACATTATAAATAGGTTATAACATTGATTCGCAGAAACTGTGTGAGAAGGCACTTAATGCCCTCCTAGCCACTCAGATTCTGCTTTGTCATGTTCAGGGCTAAAAAAATGCAAACAAAAAAACTGCATCGCAAGCACCTTACACGTAATGGAAATGGAACCAACCTTTCATGATGACTCAAGAGTCCGACCCTTTGCTGAGATGGTGCTATCTGAATAATCACTATGATGACAGATGTCAACTCTACTCACTCAACAAGCACCTACTGAGCAAGCACCTACTCTGTGTAAGGCTCTGGACTAGGCACTGTGGGGGTAAACACCAATAAGACAATAAGATTCTGAGTGAGCTGGCTTCACTGTAGCTGGATCCATTTGCTCTCCTCTCCCTGTGAGGGTCCCAAGGAAAATCGGGCTGCTTTAATGTCTGCCAAGGCCGACATCTTAAACTAGTGTTGTTCCTCCAACAACTGATTCCTGTTTTAGATCAACAAGAAGTTCAGCAAACAGAAGGAAGGCCTCTTAGGATAGATCCCTGGGGCTGGTCTTGAGGAGACATAAGCAAACCTGCTATAGAAGGGACCGCCTTGCTGTCAACGTCTGAGTGAGCTCCTCAGAGCCTAATTTTTTTGTACGACCTACAATGACACGTCCAAGTCCATGAATTCATCCCAGACCTTTACTTACTCACCATCTTATTTTCCTACCTTTTCCACAGCCTCACCCCGATCTTAGCAAAATAGGCCAGTTTGGCCTTCTGATTCAAGTGGAGCCTGAATAGTAATCAAGCAGAAGTTTAGGTGCCTGCTATATATACATGGGAAAGTTATTTCACTTCTCTGACCCTCAATCTCTTCATCTATAAAACAGAAGCAATACCTAGCGCACAGAGTCCTTGGGATGTTAAATGAGGTCCTGGGTGTGAATGCGATGCATACATTATCTGGCATGTGGTGGGGACCCAGTAAATGTCATTTCCTTGTGCCACCCTTGTAGGCTTTCTCATCCTTTCTTTTTGGCTTTTATTGAATTTATTAGGGTGACACTGGTTTAACATAATTATACGGGTTTCAGGTGCACAGTTCTACAACGCATCGTCTGTGCACTGTATTGTGTGTTCCCAGCCAAATCAACTCTCTGGCCATCACCATTTATCTTCCCTATTCCCTCCTTCACCTCCCCTCCCTTCCCCTTCTATCCCACACCCCCTCCATCCACTGGCAATCACCACACTGTTGTCTATGTCCATGAGTTTTTTTCTCCTTTCTTTTCTTCTTTGTTTTCACTCATATGTGGAATCTAATGAACTAACAAGCAAAATAGAGACAGACTCATAGACAGAGAGCAGGCTGACAGCTGGGGGGCAGGAGGCTGGGGTGGGTGGTTGGTGGGTTTTCTCATCTTTAATGACAAATTCCATCTCTTGGCACAGACAATTCATGAGTGCAGTGGGAATAGGAGACTCAGGATATGTCATGTTGCTGTATTTAAGATTAAAAGGAGTCAACATTAATTTGGTTTTAAGAATGTCTCATCTGACCTTGAGATAACATAACTACCCGGGGATGTCCTTTTTAGGCTGCAAATCAAAGCAATAGCAAGGAATGTTTGTCCCTGACTATCTAGTTGCCTTACTATTAAACTGAGAATAACTTGAAGAATTTATTTGTGGTATAAAAAAAAATCTTATGATGTAGGTTTAAATGAAAATTCGTTCTGAATTGTGGTAGCAGCCATATTTCAGGGAACATATGGAAGGAAAGACAACTTTAAGGGAATATTTATGACAGGGATTTGAATTGTACTTTTCCAAGTTAGGAAACCTAGATGTGAGAGGGGTTAATTGCAAATGGGAAATTTATTGGACAACAAAGCTGTTCTGGTATCCTGATGATGTTAGTGATTATGCAGCTGTTTGCATATAGAGCTATATACAAAAAGGTGAATTTTATTGTAAATAAATTTTAAAAACATAAGTGAGGTGAAAGTGAAACAGGCAAAAAATGCGATTCTGAGTTTTCCTCAACATTGCTGAGATTTAGACCTGCTGCTGATGGTAAAAGTCTCCTTAGCAAGAAATAAGTTAGAATGAAATTACATTTGGGCAGAGGAAAGGGGGGGAAAAAAATAAGCCTGTGAGTACCAAGTAAACAGGATAAATAATTTATTAGTTTTGCCTTTTAAAGTGTCAGTTTTCATAGGCATGGTTTTCCCATAAATTGTCATGCAATTTTTATCCCTAGATTGTAGTATTTTTTATTTTTTTTTAATTTTTTTTATTGATTTCAGAGAGAAAGGGAGGAGGAGAGAAACATCAATGATAAGAATCATTGATGGCTGCCTGCTGCATGCCCCCTACTGGGGATCCAGCAGGCAACCCCGGGCATGTGCCCTTGACTGGAATCAAATCTGGGACCCTTCATTCCATAGACTGATGCTCTATCCACTGAGCTAAACCAGTTTGGGAGCATGTAGCTTTTTAAAGACTCAAATTTTTTAAATTTTGTTTTTCAAGGATTGAGCCTCACAAACACTGTCTAAAATAGAAAATATCTCATCTAGAGTGTGTAGTTCTATCATTTTCAGGCATCATGCTTATTTTAATATTTTACCATCCAGTCAAATCATCCGTCTGCTGACTCCCGATTTTTTAATGACAAAGCTGACATCACTGGGCTCCAGAAAGCTTTGCACTGGGCATTCCCTGTCTACCGTTCTGAAATGTCGTTTAACATTATCCTACATCATTACTCAACTGTCCACAGGAAGGACAGTAGAACAGAAGAATTTAATTTTCAGGTCAGATTTCATAAGATTCTGGATCCAAAATCTTTTTAAGAAAGTCCATTTCTACTGTAATTGGGTCATCCATATGTCATCCTCTTAACCTTCATAATCAAATCAATTAATGGTCAGGCTTGTTAATCTGGGTCCATCAGCCCCTGTAAAACATGCTATAATTTCATTCTATTATGAGAACAAATATGTAAGCATCTGGAGGCTAACACTATTAGGAGTATAATTTAAAACTGTAATTGGGTGCTCAGAAGATAAGTTTCGATTAAAACTTAGAAAAAAAAATTCTTGGAAAATATTTGTTTCCCTTGGATAAAAGTTGTAATGTCAGGGGAGCTAGGGGGGGCGGGGGGGGGAAGGAAAACTGTAATAATCTGAACAATAAAGATTTTTTTTTTTAAGTTGTAATGTCATCAAGAGTAGTCAGCAGATCCTGGATGTTTCATAACATACTGGGTGGATACTTGTTGAGGACTCTTTTTTAAAAAATATATATTTTATTGATTTTTTACAGAGAGTGAGAGATAGACAGAGAGCTAGAAATATCAATGAGAGAGAAACATCGATCAGCTGCTTCCTGCACGCCCCTCCCCTCCTCCCCCAGGGATGTGCCCACAACCAAGGTACATGCCCTTGACCGGAATCGAACCTGGGACTCTTCAGTCCGCAGGCTCTATCCATTGAGCCAAACCAGTTAGGGCTGTTGAGGACTCTTGAGTGACATTCAAAATTATTTGTACCCTTTATCGTAAGATTAAAATATCACCTGACCAAGTCACCTAGACAAAACCGAGTTAGATCTATCATTGCTTTTTGTTTCATAAGAGAAAATAGGCTGGAAAAAATGGATCATGAATTGATGGTGTTTTGTTGCTGAGCTTCTTCATTGAGCTGTAGATGTAGCAATTTTGGAAATCCCAGGTGGGATGCGTGTGTGGGCCTGGGCAAGACCAGAGACAGGCTGGCTCTAGCCCTGTCTTTCCAACTGCCACAGCTAGGATCATAAGACCTAATAATGCACTATTGAAGTAAAACACTGGGTTAGTAAGTTAACATAAACTCGAAGATTACAAAGTGTAAAACACTGACTGTTCAGAATAAAATTACAGTTATGCTGATTGTATGCAGGAATGGACAGACCACAAATTACGCTGGAATCCTGATGAATACGGTGGAATTCATTCCATTAAAGTCCCATCGGAATCTCTCTGGCTCCCTGACATAGTTCTCTTTGAAAAGTAAGTATCATAGGAGAAAAGAACACTGGGGCAAGTTAGGACCAGAAGTAGAAAAGCTGGATGTTGGTAAAATAATGAAGAGAAATGCACAACTTCAAGTGATGAGGGACCTGTTGCTTTTTGTTTGTTTGTTTGTTTGTTTGTTTGTTTTAATATATATTTTATTGATTTTTTTACAGAGAAGAAAAGAGAGGGACAGAGAGTTAGGAACATGGATGAGAGAGAATCATCTATCTGCTGCCTCTTGCACACTCCCTACTGGGGATGTGCCCGCAACCAAGGTACATGCCCTTGACCGAAATCCAACCTGGGACCCTTCAGTCCACAGCTGACGCTCCATCCACTGAGCCAAACCGGTCAGGGCCTGTTTCTTTTTGAGTTATTGTTTGACCCTGTAGTAGGAAAGTAATAAAATACAAATAGTTTGATGGTGGGCAACACACACACACACACACACACACCACAATTAAAAGTCAGCTTGCCGTTAAAGTGAACCTGCTTTTACCACAGTGCTGATGGACGTTTCGAAGGCTCTCTCATGACGAAGGCCCTCGTGAAATCGAATGGGACCGTCACCTGGACCCCTCCCGCCAGCTATAAGAGCTCGTGCACCATGGACGTCACGTTCTTCCCGTTCGACCGGCAGAACTGCTCCATGAAGTTCGGGTCCTGGACTTACGACGGGACCATGGTCGACCTCGTCTTGCTCAACGAACACGTCGACAGGAAAGACTTCTTCGATAACGGGGAGTGGGAAATACTAAACGCCAAAGGGAGGAAGGGACACAGGAGAGACGGTGTGCATGCCTACCCGTTCATCACCTACTCCTTCGTCCTGCGTCGCCTGCCTCTGTTCTACACCCTCTTCCTGATCATCCCCTGCCTGGGGCTCTCCTTCCTGACGGTGCTGGTGTTCTATCTGCCTTCGGATGAAGGGGAGAAGCTTTCCCTGTCGACCTCGGTCCTGGTGTCCCTGACGGTGTTTCTGGTGGTGATTGAGGAGATCATCCCTTCTTCCTCCAAGGTCATCCCTCTCATTGGAGAGTACCTGCTGTTCATTATGATCTTCGTCACCCTGTCGATTATTGTCACCGTGTTCGTCATTAACGTTCACCACAGATCTCCCTCCACGTACCACCCCATGGCCCCCTGGGTGAAGAGGCTTTTTCTGCAAAAACTCCCTAAGTTACTCTGCATGAAGGACCACGTGGACCGCTACTCTTCCCCAGAGAGAGAAGAGAGCAGACGGGTGGTGCCAGGTAAAGTCCTAGAGAGAAGGAAGCAGAAGCAGGTTAGCGATGGAGAGAAAGTGCTGGTTGCTTTCCTGGAAAAGGCTGCGGAGTCCATTCGGTACATCTCCACGCACGTGAAGAAGGAGCATTGTGTCAGCCAGGTGAGTAGACTGGGATGCAGAATAATGCCGCCATTGAGATGCGCCAGAATGAATGCTCTCACTGCAATTTACAACAAAAGGCTGTCCTTGTTTGAAATGTGGCATGATTCGCTAGCTGCTTTACAAGTACAAAATGTAAAACAAACCCTGACGTAAATTAGGGATTTGGGTATGGATTTTTAAGAAGTTCGCAAAAACAGAATAGGAAAAAGTGAAGCAACTATGATTTAGTGCTATTCCTTATGATTTGACTTAATTCTATTGAAAATAATTCAGTTCTACATTTTAAATAGGCTATTCTGGTCTCTGGTAATTTCTCTCTCTTTTTTTTAATGGGATGATGGGTATTTCTACCCATAGAATTTGGAAGTATCAGATTTTTAAACTAATATTAAAATAGAGTATTACCATGATCTCACTCATTTGTAGAATATAATGAATAACATAAACTGATGAAGAAAAACAGGTTCAGAGACAGAGAAGCATCAATCAGACCGTCAAACCTCAGAGGGAAGGTAGGGGAGGGTGGGGGTAAGGGGAGGAGATCAACCAAAGGACCTGTATGCATGCATATAAGCCTAACCAATGGACATAGACACCAGGGGGTGAGGTCATGGGGGAGGGGGGTGTCAGGAGGCAATAGGGGAATAATGATACATATGTAATACCTTAATCAATAAAGAAAAAAATAGTGTTACAACCAATAGTAGTAGTGTTTAGAATATTAGAGGGGTGTAGTAATTTAGCTTACAGATTTGAACAAAAAAATGTGTGGCAAGGATGTGAATTTCAGACTCAAAACAGTCCTAGACTCAGATCTGTGACTTGAGACATAGTACATATAATCCTCATGTGGTAGAAATAGGCACTTTCCCCTTTAAAGATGATGACTGGCCTGTCCTTCTCCAGCCTCGCAGCTTATTCCTGCTCTGACCTTGCCCTTCACAGCTTCCCTTCCTCCAGAGGGACTTGGTCTCCTCTCTCCCTTATCAATCCCTGCCCTCTCCTGGTCAGGTCTCCTCCTTGGCACTGTCTATCATTCTGGAGCTGGAGCAGCCAAGCCCACATGTGGGGTTGAAGAAAGATAGGCTTGCCCTAGCCAACTGGCTCAGTGGATAGAGCGTCAACCTGCAGACTGAAGGGTCCCAGGTTCGATTCCGGTGAAGGGCATATGCCTGGATTGCTGGTTTGGTCCCCAGTAGGGGACATGCAGGAGCAGCCGATCAATGATTCTCTCTCATCATTGATGTTTCTATATCCCTCTCTTTCCCCCTTTCCTTTCTGAAGTCAATAAAGAAATATATTTTTAAAAAAATAGGCTTGTGACATTGAGCCACAAAAATTCTTAATTTATAAATTTGCGGTTCATTTCATATATGATATCAGGAAGCATCACACTGAGAGATATTGGCTTTTTATTTATTTATTTATTTTTGCATATTTTTTTCATTTTTTTTTATTAAGGTATTATATGTGTACATATCTTACCACTGCCCCCTCCCCACTCCCATACATGCCCTCGATATTGGCTTTTTATTTGTGTTTTTTTTTTAAAAAAAAAAGTGGGTTTCCCCCATTTTAACCATCCATGCTTACAAATGCACCAACGATTTGTGTTTCTATTGTACATCTTCATTGTTGATGACAGTGTTCACGGGCTGTTTAATTTGGCAAGAATCCGAGCCTATAGTACAGGTGATGTGTTAGGTGTGTTTTGAAAACCATAAATCTGAATATTACCCTTTTTAAGTCCCTTGGAACAAATTCAGAATGGCTGCCCAGCACCCGACATGGAAGCTATCTCTCCTTCTCTTGTGCAGGTGGTACAAGACTGGAAATTCGTAGCGCAAGTTCTGGACCGCATCTTCCTGTGGCTCTTCCTGACGGTGTCGGTGATGGGCTCTGTCCTGATTTTCACCCCCTCTTTGAAGATGTGGCTACACAGTTACCATGAGGAGCAAGTCTCCAGAGCGATCTAACATGCACTCCACAGAGACAAAATGGCACCATGGAACTGCCATCCAGCCGGCACGTATATACTGCACCCAAATGCACACACTTCTTGGAAGGGCTTGTGTGGTCCTCCAGGAAACGGGACTTGGTAAATGTGGTTTGCCCACGGGAAATTCGTGGTTGCCATTAGAGTCGGCTGGGTCTGGGTAAAACAGAACCTCGAAGGGCCCTGCCTTGGCTTCAGGGAGGAGTCATATGCCCAGGCCTGAGCTCACAAGCCGGCAGCACCAGGAGGTTCCCAGGGAGCTGGACTGAGGTCTAACAAAGCTGAGGCCTGAGAATTCAAGGAGGCCTTGGTGTTGGCAGGATTTGGGTCTCCTGTGTCCTGTTCTGGGTGATTTTGCCTGAGATGCATCTTGGGCTGTGTGTTGTGGACGAAGAAATCTCAACAACCATGATAGAACACTGGGGCTCCTTGTGTAATCCACACATCCATATATCTCTGCACGTTTTATTGGAACTTTTAAGAAGGGAGGCAGCATGGTCAAATAGGAACCAAGGCACAAGGACTCTTGAGTTCTAGACCAGCTTTTTCTCAGCTGTGAGCTGTGGGACCTTAGGAAAGTCACATGTCCTCTCTGGTCAAGAAGAGCCTATGACATGATTTTTAACACCCTTTTCCACTCTACAATCCTATTCTTTGGATAGGCATACTGGAGCTTTCACAATTTTTAGACCACACAATTTCTAGTTGTAACTTTGATCCTTTGGGGAAATGAATCTGCTTTATCTCTGATTTAGGGCAGGAATTACAAGAAAATATTGTGGTGAAACCAAGGATTCGATGCCGTAAATCCCTGACGGGATTGTGAAATCAAAGGGCAAATCACTGCTCTTTTTATTGAGAATGCTATTGACTTTAACTTTATTCAACTCATCCATTTGCTAGGTAAATGGCAGAACTAATCTTAGAAAAACGCATTTTGATTAGAATCTAGTCATACATTTTAAAAAGTACCACATGAGACACTTCCCAAGCTTCCTTCCGACCAGGCACAAATACAGCAAAGGTCAAACCCATATATTGTACATGTGCATGAAGCTTATTCCTCATTGCCGCTACATTGGGAGACAATGCCCATTTCAGATATGGAAAAGGATAAATATTTACAGGTCACAATAACCCTCAGAAAGCAACTACAAAAGAGAACTTGAAAGCAAAGAAATTTTTCTTTCAAATACATAGCAAGAAAAATCTTCTGTGGGTAATCTTGCCAGCTAATCCAAAGTGGTCACAGCAAGACCCACGCAACTCTCCATCACACATGTGAGCATGTGGAACAGACACATGCCTGGACACACATGTGCAGGCACACACACTCGTTGACACACCCTGGCATGCACACAGGAGTGGGCTCACACAGAACTGTCCTAATTGTTCTCACTCTTCAGATCTTTGCTACCACTCTGCCTCCTCATGGGCCCCCCTGAACTCCTGTCTCTGAAAATCCATGATGTGTTCAGTTTCTGCTATACGGTTTAGAAGGTCATTGTTCTTTATTATTTTATTAAGTGAATTTTATTGCCTTGCCCCTGTTACATTTCCAACAGCATCTCATAGAGCTGTGTACATGGTCAAGACTCAATTGATTAATTAAACCAGTACCAGTAAGTTTGTACTGGGTTTTTCATCTAAAATAAAGACAAATTTTACTCTTGCTCAGTCCTCCAATATTTCCAGTTGTGTGTGTGTGATTTTCAGCACGTACCTTAAACTTTTTCTTACATTAAAATGCTTTTGAAGCACAATTTGTGGGCACAGACTATGGGATGGTGAGGGCTTGGGGGGTAGAATGGGAGCCGATTGGAAGAGGCTAACGGGAAGAAAGGAGGATCTATATGATACTTTCAAAAATAAATATTTTTTTAAATTGTTTTAATTTTTAAAGAAAGCTTTTAGATCGGCCAGCATGACTCAGTGATTGAGCATCAACCTATGAACCAGGAGGTCATGATTTGATTTCCGGTCAGGGCACATGCCCAGGTTATGGGTTTGATCCCCAGTGTGGGGTCTGCAGGAGGCAGCTGATCATTGATTCTCTCTCATCATTGATGTTTCTATCTCTCTCTTCCTCTCCCTTCCTCTCTGAAATCAATAAAAAACATACTTAGAAAAAATAATTCCATTTTCCAGTTTCTGTCTCTCAAGAACAGCCTAAATTTGTGCTAGATTGTCTAAAATAGTATTTAACCCATAGTGGTGTGCCTCTTAAATCTATTTTAATTTGTCACTGACTTGTTGAAAAGACTAGATCAGCTTTCCCCAAGAATGTCTTGTTTCGTATTTGTCCGGTTGCTGGCTTTTGTTGTCATTTAACTTATTCTTCTGTCTCCTGTATTTTCTGAAAATTGGAAGTTGCAACTATAATTCCTGTTTAATATTTTTGACAGAGTACACCAGAGATGATGGTGCATAGTTTATGCTGTATTGTACAAGGAGACATGCTATCTGGCTTTTGAGTCATCACTGTTAAGAATAATCCCTGGGTTAAGATGATGACAGCCTGATCTCGCCACCTGTCCAGTGATAAAATTAGTGGGATAGCCTGTGTCCATCACACACAGCAGCTATAAAGACCTTGGTCCTTTTAGAGCTGGTCTATCACCAGCTACATTAGAACCCTGTAATTTCCAAAGAGCAGGATCTCTATGCTGGGATCGACCTTTCTGGTTGTGTCATAATTCTTTCATGGAAGCACCTCCTATTTTGTATTAAAGTGTATTCATTTCATTAGTAGCCATGGTGACTGTCATTTGTGTTTAACCAGACACATATTCCTTCTTTGTATCAAGACTTTCTGCTCAGTATGGCAATAAAATAATAATGAGAATAGAAGTAACATGATATCTTGGGTTTACAGATAACCTTAGGTTTGGGGAAAGTAGCTGAGGGCAGCAGCACCTCCACAGATGTGCACTGTCACCCCTCCAGGCAGAGTAAGCACTTTGGGGAAAAGCAGGCTGGCCTGTTGTCAAGTTAGACGTGGCCCTGAATGCTCGAAGAGGGTTCCAGCTTCGGGCAACAAGAGGAGACCCACGCAGGACAGAAGAACCGCAGTCTCCAAAGGGTAATCACAGAAAGAAGGTTGTGAGTTGTGAAGATGAGCAGCCTTCTAAACATCCTCTTCATCTGCAAAACCCACCCTCGGAGGATGAAGGAGTGAGGAGGGACCAGTCTTGTTGTTTCTCCAGTGAGATGGATGCTCCTGCCGCCAAGAAGGACCCAGTGAGAATGTGGGGCTGTCCCTCAACAAGCCTGCTAAGCATGCGCCTTCCCAGGCCTGCGCTTCACATTCATACCCTCAAGGGGGTTCTAATTGTTCATAGGGAGGTTTACAGGTGGTTTGATGGGGAAAATCCTACATTGGTCTGTCCCACACATTATAGGATGCTTAGCATCCCTACCCCGGCCCTACAGACCATAGCCTTTTTAAATTTTTCCAAACACCAGCTAGAAATAGTGTGTAGGTGTGTGTATATGTGCACGTGCACACACGAGTGCATTTGTGTAAAAGGCATGTAATAGCATCTCCAGTTCAGAAAGGCTGGTACTGCTGGAGGGTTCAGACAATAGTTCCAGTCAAAAGGTGGGATGCTCAGTTGGTATGCTCCTGTTCTTACTGCCAAGCCCCTCACCACACCCAAGAGGCACACCCTAGGCCTTGGGAAAGGTTGGGTGGAGTGGGGACATCCCAAGGTATGCTCTCTAGGCTACGGGTGTCGAACTCAATCAGAGAAGGGGCCAAAATCTAAAATCCAGCCTAAATCGCGGGCCGAATGGTTTACTGAACAGTCATAAACTGTCATTGTGATGGAAACGCAGCGCGGTGCGGGCCACATTGCAAGGCCTGGCGGGACGGATTTGGCCCGCGGGCCTTGTGTTTGACACATGTGCTCTAGGCCCTCAGATGGTGCCTCCGTGGTTCTCAAAGTCAACATCTTCCTTCTCCCACCTACTGCACCTTCATCCACCCGACTTTGCCCTGATGAATGTGGTGAAATGCTTTCAACAGTGTTGGTGAGGGCCGAAACCGGTTTGGCTCAGTGGATAGAGCGTCGGCCTAAGGACTGAAGGGTCCCAGGTTAGATTCCAGTCAAGGGCATGTACCTTGGTTGCAGGCACATCCCCAGTGGGGGATATGCAGGAGGCAGCTGATTGATGTTTCTAACTCTCTATCCCTCTCTCTTCCTCTCTTGTAAAAAAAAAAAATATCAATAAAATATATATTTTTTAAAAAGTAGTGTTGGTGAGTGTAATGAAACCCTTGTGGATTGTGAGTGGAAATGTAAGACAATGCAGTCACAGTGACAGTTCCTTAAAAAAATAAAATTAGAATCACAACAAAACCCAGCCATTTCGCCTCTAGGTATATACTCAAAAGAATTGAAATCAGGAACTCAAAGATATATTTGTACACCCTTATTCACAAAAGCCAATAGGTGGAAGCAACCCAACCTGAGTGCCCATTGACAAATGAATGGACAAATAAAATATTGTATATACATACGATAGAATATTACTCAGCCTTCCAAAGCAAAGAAACTGACATACTACAACGTGGATGAAACTTTAAGACATTTTGCTAAGTGAAATGAGCCAATTGTAAAACGAGAAATACTGTATTAATCCACCTATAAGAGATAACAGAATAGTTAAATTAATAGAGACAAAGTGAAAAAGTGGTTATCAGTGCAGGGGGAAGGGGTGGGAGGGAGGAGAGAAGCATGAAGAGTTGTTTAATGGATGCAGTTCCAGTTTTGCAACATTAAAGAGTTCTGTGGATGAATGGTGGTGCTAATTGCACTATATTGTGAATGTTTTTAATATTACTGAATTTTATACTTAAAAATATTTTAATAGTTAAAATGATAATTTATTGTATGATATATCTATTTTAGCATCACTAAAACTGATTTTTAGTTAATCCTCACCTAAGGATATTTTTTCCCATTGCTTTTTAGAGAGAGTGGAAAGGAGGAGAGGAAGGAAAGAGAGAGAGAAAAACATTGATGTGAGAGAAACACATTAATTGGTTGCCTCCTGTACCCACTCCAACTGGGGCCAGGGGTGAACCTGCAACCCAGGTACATGCCCTTGACTGGAAATAAAATTCTCGACCCTTGAATATACAGAGTGACACCCTAACCTTTGAGCAACACCAGCCAGGGCCATTAAAACTTTTTTAAAATTAAATATTGAATTGGTTTGATATTAAAAAAAAAAAAAAAAAAAGTATTAAGTAACAACCAATGCAATGTAAAGATAGAAAGATAAAACAATGGTACTTCAATCACAAATATGAGAAGGAGTAAAAATACTTTAAAACAGAGTAATTCAAATTCAGTACCTCTACTTGGTGTGCCACATAGTGCCTTATGCTCCAGTGTGAGATAGACAAGGAAGAATTAACATGGAGTAATAGAAACCATGGTGAATCAATGCAATGAAGATTATGAAATCTTTAAAAGTATACTTCACGATTATGTAACATCATGAAGGAATGTTGCTAATATGATGTTTTCAGAAACCAGAAAAATACAAAATTGCAAGGTAAAATTGAACTGTAAAAAATTATATGTGGCCTGGCCAGCATGGTCCAGTGGTTGAGCATCAACTTATGAGCCAGGAGGTCATGGTTTGATTCCCAGTCAGGGCATATTCTTGACTTGTGGCCTCAGTCCCAAGCAGGGGATGTGCAGGAGGTAGGCATCAATGATTCTCTCTTTCTCTCTCTCTCTCTCCCTCTCTCTTTCTCTCTCTCTCCCCTCTCTTAAATAAATAATTTTTTTTAAAAAAGAAAAAGTATATATGCTTATAGGCAAGGACTAGAAGGGAAATGCAAAAATAAAGGTAGTTCATTTGTTAAGGCAGAGCTCTTTTTTTTCTGCTTTAAAATATGTCTTTTAAATTGTTAGGATACTATTTATACAACAACTAAGAAGATAATAAATTCGAGTGGAATAAAGCAAAATTTCCAAAGGGTTCCCTCTCAGAAAAGGAATTGCTCCAAACGGTACAGGTCACAATTTCTGACAGAAGAAATAAGTTTATTTTCAGTCTCAGCTACAATGAACAAATGGAAACTGTTGATGGGAAAAGACAACGAAGGTTGTGTTACGTCTGCCTGGCCACTCCACCCCGTGTTCTCCTACTCTGATTGCTCCTGTTCCTTCCCCGCGTGACACTTAGTCCTGGGATCTTTGTGCTCATGTTTTTCTAAAAAGCTGGGACTGCTGGGGGCAGCCTATTTCTGTTACCTTTGCAGTGCCTAGCAGAGTGCTGGGTTACCTCAAGTTTTGTGTGTTTTTTTTAATTTTTTTAAAATATATTTTATTGATTTTGTACAGAGAGGAAGGGAGAGAGATAGAGAGTTAGAAACATCGATGAGAGAAAGTCATCGATCTGCTAACGTGTGCATGCCCCCCACTGGGGATGTGCCCACAACCAAGGTACATGCCCTTGACCGGAATCGAACCCGGGACCCTTCAGTCCGCAGGCTGACGCTCTATCTACTGAGCCAAACCGGTTTCGGCACCTCAAGTTTCTTGCCAGATGCATGCGAATACAGCCTGCTGAAGTCAACTCCGACTACCTGCCATGGCTTTCTGCTAACGAACGTATGGAATCATGCTGGTGTGTGAGCTACATCCCAGAGACATGCACCTGAAAGCCAGCCTACAGGAGTTCACGAGCATGGCACCCGTCAGCAAGGCCCATGCTCCAGAGTTTCAGGCCTGGCATGTGTCCTTCTGCTGATCAGCAGCATAAACTGGGGGGACCGCAGAACCCCTTTTCAGTGTGGTTCGATGGGGATGACAGGGTTCGCTGTATTATGGCTCAGTGTGGCCCTGGAAGCTGACCGCGTCCAGACCCACAGCGAGAAGCCTGTGGGAGCTGCCAGAGCTGGGCTCCAGGGTCGTGCTACAAACAAGGGCATCAGGCTCCTCCTTTTCAATCAAGCCCTCGTTTTCCTCTTAGTCATCAGCTTCTGTAGATGGGGGACTTAGATGGGAAGCTTTCTGACCCTTTCTTTATGGCACAGAACACAGGACAAATACAGCGTCTGCACATTTCAAAAGATCGAGTCCTTAGGATTTCCCTGTGTTCCCCAGCAGTGGCTGGAGAAATAGCCCTGCGGTGCCAAACACGCAGACGATGATAAAGATCCAGAGAAACACTCTGTCCACCACCATGGCCACGTATTTCCAGTCATCTTCTACCTGAAAGCCAAACAAACAAACAAACAAAAAATCAATTTTAAAAAATCAAAACCGGAGGAAATTGTGCTTCGTTGCACAAATAAGCTTCTTCCTTTTCAAAGAAAATGCTCCTGGCAAATTCTAAAGCAAATACTGGTATTATTTTTTGTTAACTCTACAGAGCATGCAAAAGAGCTTTTGTTTTGTCTGAAGAGGGTGGATCCTCACACCCCGTGGAGTGCTTTGGGCGGCTGGCTACAAAGCACGCAGACTTCAATAAGCCAGGATTCTGTGGGCACAGAGGACCGTTCTGGACTGCAAGGAGCACTCCCAAGAAAGAGCTGCTCATAAAGTGTGGTTCTGGTCATGGGCACCAGTGGATACCTGTCCCCTTGGCAAGTCTTGGGAAATGGGTTTGAGGCCGGGAGCGTAGGACATGCGGCATGATGGAGGCCCCCCCCCCCCCCCAGATCAGGACGGGCAGCCCTCTAGACCTCCAGATCATGTGGTAATGGAGCGTTCATTGCCTTTCTCCCAGCCTTCCAGTTTTGGGCCTCCTCACTTCTGCCAAAAATCTCCCTGTCTGTGTCTTGAGAGCTCTCCCTGGTGGTGATTAAATCAACAGCAACTCTCCCCTAGATTTTAGGAAGGTGTCACCATAGAGGGGAGATCTGGGCTCACTTGTCCGGTGATGCACCCCACTCCCACCTGGGAGACACGCAGACACAGTCTCTTCCCCTGCGCCACCTTTAGATCTTTAGATCTTTTTAAAAAAATATATTTTATTGATTTTTTTACAGAGAGGAAGAGAGAGGGATAGAGAGTTAGAAACATTGATGGGAGAGAATCATCCATCAGCTGCCTCTTGCACACCCCCTACTGGGGATGTGCCCGCAACCAAGGTACATGCCCTTGACTGGAATCGAACCCGGGACCCTTCAGTCCGCAGGCCAACATTCTATCCTCTGAGCCAAACCGGTTTCAGCCAGACTTTATATCTTGAGCTATCCTTTCGCTAACAGATACGATGCTGGTAACTGCAATATGAGGTCAAAATCAGGCACCGGCATGAGTTTCCAGATGCCCTCCACCAGTTATCCTTATGTTATGGAAAGTGGATGTGATTTTCTTGATCTCTCTCTCTTTGGAGGGTGGGGGATGCCCATGGTACTATAGTTAGACTCTAAGCATCGGGGAGCAAACTACGTTGATGCTAAAAATATCCCTGGGGCTCATTCCATCAGCACCTCAATCCCTCTGAAGTAGCATAAGCAGGACTGAGCTGTGGAGGATTCACCCCCACCTTCCTCCCACCACCCTCAGATGGCAAGCTGCTCTGCAGTCATTTCTCTTTCCCCTCCGTGGGCAGCGTTTCCCTCCCCACCTCTTGTCTGACATTGTTTCCTGTGCAGGAGCCCTCAGTTTCATTAACCAAGGTGGCCCAAGATTTCACTTGAGTCAACATTGCTGGAGGTGAAAGTTTGCCTTGGGGCTACCTGACCCCAGGCCAGCCTGTCCATAACTGTGTCATAACAGAACTGGATCTTAGAGCAGTGTTTCCCAAACTTTTGACATATGTGTGCCCCTTCTATACTTTTCGTAACACTGAGTACCCCTTGTACTCATGAGAACATAGAATTAGGCGCAGCTAAGCACGGTGCAGTGCATATCCCCGCCAAACTCCGATGCAACGCGTACCCCCACCAAACTCTTCCCGTACCCCTGGGGGTACACGTACCACACTTTGGGAAACACATGCTGCCTGGCCCTCTTACAAATAGAGCTCACTCTGAAGATCTGGCCATTTCTATAAAGTGCCTCCAGGCCTGCTGCAGGGGGACAGGCGAGAGGAGACATGCACTTACCTCTTTTGTTTCATTCTGGTTCTTCATGTTTTCTGCTATGAATTGAACGCTGTTAATCACGTCTTCGACTTCAGGTGAGTGCTCCGCATTTCCTGTCATCCACCGCAAAGGCTGAGGACTTAATCTTCTCTTGCTGGTGGCAGGCTGGTGTGACTTAGGGCAGTGGCAGCATTCTTTCAGGAGTTTGGGTTCTCTGCGATGATCAGACTTGGCTCTGGTAGGCCCACCGGAAATGCTTTCGGGGTTTTTATCAGAACGTGTCTTCCTCGTCTTACCCAGAGGTCTCTTCATCATCAGGATCTGGGGCAACAGCTGGAGGAAAACCGTCTTCACCCACTCGCGCATGGTGTGTGTCGTCGGGGTGCGATAGTGTATGTTCAGCACAAACACGGTCACCGCGATGGACAGGGTGACAAAGATCATGGTGAACAGTAGGTACTCACCCACCAGTGGGATCACAAGGGATGTGGATGGGATGGTTTCTGTGATTACCAGCAAAAACACAGTCAGAGAGAGCAGAACTGAAATGCAAAGCGTCACTTTCTCACCACAGTCAGAAGGAAGGTAGAAGACCAGCACAGTCAGAAATGAAATGAAGAGACAGGGGATGATCAGGTTAATGGTGTAAAACATCGGCAGTCTCCTAATGTAAAAAGAATAGGTTATATCTGTGTATATCTCTTCACAACAGTTGTATTTTATGTCATGCTTGTAGCCAGAAGCATCAACAATTTCCCATTCACTGTTTTCCCAAAAATCGTTCATATCCACTTTAGATCCAATGATCAGAAGATCAATTTCAGCTTTGTCATATGTCCAGGAACCAAATTTCAGGGAACAATTCTGATGATCAAAGGGGAAAAATGTGATATCCATAGGGCAGGAACTCTTAAAAATAGCGGGTGGAGTCCAGGTTATCATGCCATCGTATTTAAGAAGAGCTTTTGTCTTGCCTTTGACTTGGAAGTCACCAACAGCACTGCAAGATAAATCAGACGCCATCAGTAACATCCCCTTTGCTATGTAATGGGTCAGCATGTACCAAGGGCAACTTTAGAGACCCCCATACTTGTTATAGAGAACAATGTCAGGCTTCCAGATCTTATCTGCGGGAACACGAATAGTCTCAATGCCATCAAATTCCATTGGGTCCCAACGCAATTTGTAATCATTCCAGATCTAAAGGAAATAGAAGTCAGCTTTTAAAAAAAAATTTTTCTTAACCAATTTCTTCCAATGTTAATTCTCTGTTTGTACAGCAGTACTTTGGGAAAAATTAAGTTCTTAACTGAAGAGTACATTGGGTTCTATCAAAAATTGGGAGATTAAATCACAAAATAGGGGGATAAGTAGCTGAGCTGATTTTGGAAAATATAAATTATCTACTATATGTTGACTATCAATTAGCTGGCCATGGTTCTAGGCTCAACTTCCAAGTTCCATGTACTATACTCACATTGGAGTACAACTCATTTTTAAGACTGAAAAGGTTGTTCAAGTGTGTGATGATGAGTTGGTTACAAAATCTGAGTAAAAGATTAATACAAGGAAAAAAGCAAAATGGTATAATATAAAACCAGCTGGTGGGACCCTAACCCACATGTTCTCATGCTCAGCTACTGAGTTCTCCAGGTTTAGTTGAGCAGGATCAAAGATAGGACTGACACCTGACTCTGGAGCTCAAGCTACAGGTGAAAACAGAAGATTTCAGAGCAGAAATGAGAAAGGACAGAGTTTCTGTCTCAGAGAACCTTGTCACTAAGTTTCTGCACCTGTGGAGCTTGCATCAAGCCAGCTATTACCAGAGCTGAACTTTAGGCTTTGGAGGAAGGTGATAATGTACACTCTGTCAGAAGCTGGAGATGGAAAGAGGGGATGCCACTGGATTTTTATCCATTAGGCATTGTTAGGCTGGCACATGAGTAACACAGGTCCAAGAAGACATGTGATGTAGACACATACGTGACGTAGCCACAGATTGGTTTCCATGATCTGGTTTACTTCATCCTGGGAAGAAGAAACAATATTTTTAGCTTCAAATGTATTATTAATAGAGGTGGGTCTTAGAACAAGAATTACTACTAAAAAGAGCCAAATCTGAGTTATTCGTGCTTAACAGAGGGAAACAAAGAAGATTGAAAAGTCAACTTGTAGCCATGGGCAAAATTCCTATGGAGAAAATAATTGAATTTTGAGCTACTTTAAAAAACAATTGTTTTATTTTTTATTAAATTTATTGTGGGTGACATTGGTGAATAAGATTACATGTTTCAAGTGTACAATTATGTAATACAGCATTTCTATATTGCATTGTTTTCTCATCACCCAAAGTTTAGTCTCCTTCCATCACCATATATTTGATCCCTTTTACCTTCCTCAACCTTCTTCACTCTCTTCCCTTGTAATAACCACCATACTGTTGTCTATCTATGAGTTGTTTGTTTGTTGATTTCTGTTTTATATCCCATATATGAGTAAAATCATATGGTTGTTGTGAAAAAAAAAAAAAAAAAAAAAAAAAAAAAAAAAAGAAGAAGAAGAAAAAAATAGAAAAGTCAACGTATAAAAAGCAACCAGAAATATGATATTCCACATCTGATGTCAACCCTGTTGACTTTGAAAAAAATGTGGCTTAAAGACTGTCTTTCAAATGTGATTTAATACTCACCACTTCTGAGAAGCCTCTCTGATCACCATAGCCTGTAAAGGCTTCTGAGCCCATGAAAGGAAAGAAGGGAGAAAAGAGGGAGTGTGGGAAGGAAGGAGGGAAAATACTACAGATGGCGATAGGTATCTGAACCTGGGTCATTGTTTTTCTGAAAAACCTCCCTTCCTCAACACTCTACAGAAAGCATGTCCAACTCAAAGGCTAACAAGGACCAAATAAACAAGGCATGCAGGCTACAGACCGAGAGTTTGATGTGCTTACATAGGCTCTGAGTTTGAGCCCAGTTGCCTTTTAAAATGTCCATCTCAGCTCATCATGGAGTAACCTGCCACTCCCACACAGCACATCACCCAAGCCATTGCTGATTGCTTTAGTCATTATCTACACAAATATTTACTGAGTACCTACTATGTGCTCTATAATGCTGGGACTACAGTAGAAATAAGATGGGGAAAATCCTTACCTTCATGTGTCTTAGCTGTTTTGGGGGAGATAGAAAAATCAATAATCCTATATAATAAAGAGGTAATATGCAAATTAACCCTTATGCTGTAATGCTGTCACAAGATGGTGGTGCCCACAGTGGGGGGCTGGATCAGCTGCTGAGTATGCCTGCCATTGCAGTTCCCAAGGCCCCACAGAGGAAGGGGTGGGAGGGGCAGGAGGCCTGGAGGCCTGCTCTGCATGCCTGCGGCTGGAGTTCCCTCAGCTCCACCAGTGGGCAGGGCCTGGCTGCTGCTCTTCGCAGCTTCCCCAGAGTTCCCTCAGCCCCACCAGGGATGGGTCCCAGCTTCTACTTCACGTGGCTTCCACCGGGATGACCAGGCCAGCAGGGAAGGGCAGTTGGGGTGATCAGGCCAGCAGGGGAGGGTAGTTGGGGGCAATTGGACCAGCAGGGGAGAAGTTAGGCATCAATCATGCCAGCAGGGGAGCGGTTAGGGGTGATCAGGCTGGCAGCCAGAAGCGGTTAGGAGCCAACAGTCCCGGATTGTGAGAGGGATGTCCGACTGGTTTAGGCCCAATCCTGCAGGGCAGTCGGACATCCCCCAAGGGGTCCCAGATTGGAGAGGGTGCAGACTGGGCTGAAGGACACTCCCCGCTCCCCCAATTCAGGAATTTATTGCACTGGGCCTCTAGTGTGTTCATAAGCAGCTACCAACTCTTAAGGGGAAAGCTACTGAAGACACATCCAGAGCCTGCAGCAGCCTTACAGCACAACAACCTGAGGCTTAGTGACAGTTACTCAGTAACCTTGCTAAGCTTCCTTCTACAAATGGGTTTTGGGGGGGAAAGAAAGAAAAAAAAAAAAGAGTCATGGTAAACCTCAGGGTTCTAAAAGGTCAACAAAAGGAGTTACATTTATGGTTTCCTATTGGTCAGAGAGAGCAAAGATATGGATTATCCACTGGCCAGGTAGTCTATGACGACAGTTACCAGACCTAAGGTTTGTGCCTTAAAGGGTCACCTTGTGACCTACAGATTTCAGCAGAGAACATGTCAATAAATCTATTGGCTGTCAGTCAAAAATGGACAAGCTGTGCAGTCCAGAAAGGTCTTGGAGGTAACCATCCTAAGCATCTTCCAACGACTGCTTCTTTCTGAATATTAATACATTGTGTTCAAAGAATTAAAATCAGGTGTTCATATTGTCCTGACATTATCCCTACTTTCCCACTTCCACTCCCACAGGCTGGTGAAGCTCCATGTGATATGGACACCTTCAGAGGTGTTAGCCAACTTTATGGATCAAGGCTGGCAAGTCCTGTTCTATGTCCAATTCCGGACCACACCAGTGGCTATGGGGGCACTGTCATCAGGCAGTCCAGCTGGAGAGGCCAGAGACCCACAATACCACTCCACATTCCTGGGACCATTAACTTACATCTTTTTCTTGGGGAAATAAATTAGATGATACCCCAGCTACATTAAAGGATTTGAGTTACAATTTCAAATGGATTAACTTCTAGAACAGCAGAGATTGTGATCAGAAAGGCCAGGTGTGCTACATTTTGTAAGGCCTATGTCATTTTAGATATGTCAGGTGATCAAAAGCACTGGAGAGGGGCTTTGTCCTAGGTGTGTGTGTGTGTGTGTGTGTGTGTGTGTGTGTGTGTGTGTGTGAGTTGGGGTGGATGGGGGGGGGTGGAGTGGACATACTCATACACCAAAAGATCATCCACCCAGTAAACCTGTGGCCAAGTCATTTCATAAAATAGCAAATACAATCCATGTAGAAATCTCTGGTGCTCTAAGGCCAACCTGGAAGCTCAGACAGCAACAGAGGGTGTAGAACCTTCTAGAAGGGAGTTGGTGACTTTGCATCCTGGCTGTGCTGCATCACTGACTACCTCCAGAACTCACCACGGCTCAATGACAGCAGTGAAAATGGTCCACGGGGATTTCTGGTGCCTCACATAAGAACAGATAGCCTTCAACACACCAATAAGAATGGTTAAACTGCCCAGCCGGCATGGCTCAGGGTCAACCTATGAACCAGGAGGTCACCGGTTCCATGTTTGATTCCCAGTCAGGGCACTTTCCCTGGTAGCGGGCTGAATCGCCAGTGCGGAGTGTGCAGGAAGCAGTGGATCGATGATTCTCTCTCATCATTAATGTTTCTAACTCTTTCTTTCTCCCTCTCCCTTTCTCTTTGAAATCAATAAAAATATATTTTTTAAAAAGAAGGGTTATATTAATATCTGGAAGTCTTACTTCTGAAGAGGAAAAACAATTACTAAAGACAAAGAGGGACATAGTCCACCAGGATGTTGGGATGATCCTGACACATCAAACAATAGAGTCTCAAAATACATGAAATAAAAACTGATAAAGCTGAAAGAAGAAACAGACCAGTCCCCAGTTATAGCTGGAGCCTTCAGTCCCCCTTCTCAGCAACCAATAGAACTACTGGAAAATAGCATAAATATAGAAGATCTGAAAAAATAATCCATCATAAGATTAATTGACATATATAGAACACTCTACTCAAAACAGCAGCAGACACATTTTTTTTTTCATATTATGTTCCATAATACAAACCTCAACAAATTTAAAATAATTGAAATTATGCAATGTGTTTTCTGACCATAATGGAATCAAACTAGAAATCTATAACAATTGCTTCTTGGCTTTTGGCTAAGATCAAGTATAGAAATCAACAACAACAAAATATGGAAAACACTCTAAATCCATGGATACTAAACAAGTCACTTCTAAATATCCAGTAAACAAAGAGAATGTCTCAAAGAAATTTTTTTAAAATACATATAAATGAAAACATATCAAAATACAAGGGAAATAGCTAAAAACAATGCAGAGAAGAAAGTTTATAGTATTAAATGCTTACATAAGAAATGAGAAATGGTCTCAAATCAATAACCCAAGTTTCTATTTCAATAAATTAGAAAAAGAAGCACAACATAAACCCAAAGCAAGCATAAGAAAGGAAAAAATAAATGTAAGAGCAGAAATGAAATTGAAATGGAACATTTCAATTAATAAAGAAAATTAATAAAACAAAAAGCTAATTCTTTGTGGGGACAACAAAACAGATAAACCTCTAGCAAGGTTGACAAAAATAAAAAGAGAGAAGATACAAATCACCAATATCAGGAATAAAATAGCTATCACTACAGATCCTGCAGCCATTAAAAAGAACAGAGAATACAGTACTAAGAATAACTTTATCATACATTCAACAGCTTTAAAAAACAAAAACAAAAAAAACCAATTCCTCAAAAGCCACACACTATCAAAGATGAAATCGATCATCTGAATAACCGATATCTATTTTAAAATAATGTATCATTTAAACACTCCCAGAAAAGAAATGTCCAGTTCTAATAAGTTTTCCTGGAGAATTCTACCAAATAGGCAAGGTAGAATTAACACCGTGGACCAGGAGACAACACTGAGGGAAGAAACCACAGGCTAAGGACAGTGAAGTAGAAAGACAGAATGAACCGTGGCCAATGTCGCCATGCGTGGTTTGTGTTTTGACCATCACAGTCCCTGTGACTGACATCCCCTGGAGCTGTGTGGTGCATGACCTGAGCAACTATAACATGTGGAGCAACTGCTGACACCACGGAGTGTCACTGGTGTTAGCCTCCTGGACTGTCAACCTTTAGATGTCTGTTACATCAGAAAGAAGGAAACTTTTCTATGTAAGCTGTGGTTTTTGTTCAGTCTCTGATAGCAGCCCAATGCAAACGTCACAATCTCTATTCAGCAGTCCCCCTACCCAGCATCTTCAGAACAAGGTCCTGAAGGGAACTGTCGGTCAGGGATTTGAAATGATGCTGTACACTGAGGGGGGCCCCCTCACAGGTTCTGGGTGAATCTCAGTTCAGCTTCCCATCCAAAAGAACCCAATCCTTACAAATATGGCTTCCAGTCCAGTATTAAGCTATCTGTGGGAGGGGAAGAGTATGGGGGGAGGAATCAGAATAATAACTAAATAAAAATTTATTAAAGGAACAAGTGGCCCCCTCCAGGTGAGAGTTAACATCTATTTTCTTCCGTCCTCCTCCCTTCTCCCTCACCTCGAGACCGTCCTCCCCTCTTCGTCCTTTCTCTCTTCTTTCGCCTTCCTCACCCTCGCTAAAGGGGACTGGCGAAACTGGTCCCGCGTGGAATCCTTCCCTCCCTCCTTCTCCCCCTTGCCTCCCCCTTTCTCTCCTCCTTCCCTCCTTTCCCCCCTCTTCCCTCCCCTCCTTCGCTATCCTCCTCTATCCTGTTCTCGTCCTTCTTTCTCCCTTTCCTTCCTCTCTTTTCTTTCTTTCTTTCTTCTTTCTTTCTCTTCTTTTCTTTCTTTCTTTCTTCCGTTCTTTTTCTTTCTTCTTTCCTTCTTGTCTTTTTTTCTGCTCTTTCTTTCTGTTTTTTCTTCTTTCTTTCTCTTTCGTCTTTCTGTTTCCCTTCCCTTTCTTTTTCTTTCCTTTTTTTCTTTCTTCTTCCTCTGCTTCTTTCCTTTCTCCTTTTCTTTCTTTTTCTTTCCTTCTTTCTTCTTTCTTTCTTTCCTTCTTCTTCCTTCCTTCTTTTCTTTCTTTCTCTTCTTTCTTTCGTTCTTTTCCTTTTCCTTCCTTTACTTTCTTTCTTTCTTTTCTTTCTCTCCGTTCTTCTCTCTTCTTTCCTGTTCCGTCTTTCTTCTTCCTATTTTTCTTTCTCTTTTTCCCTCTTTCCTTCCTTTCTTTCGTTTCCCTTTCTTTTTCTTTTCTTCTTTCTCTTCTCTTTCTTTCTTTCTTCTCTCTTTTTCTTTCTTTCTTTTCTTCTTTTCTTTCTTTTCTTCTCTTTCTTTCTTTTCTTTTCTTTTCGTCTTCTTCTTTCCTTTCTTCCTGTCTTTCTTTTCTTTTCTTCTTTCTTTCTTTCTTTCTCTTTCTTCCCTCTTCTATTCTCTTTTCCTTCCTCTTTCTCCTTCTTCTCTCCTTCTTTCTTCTTTCTTTCTTTCCCTTTTCTTTCCTCTTCCCTTCTTTCCTTCCTTCTTCTTTCCCTTCATTCTCTTCTTTGCTTCTTTCTCTTTCTTTCCGTTCTTCTCCTCTTTCTCTTCTTCTTTTTCTTTCCTTTCTTCTTTCTTCTTTCTCTTTCCTCTTCTCTCTTTCTTTTTCTCCTTCTTTCCCTCCCTCTTTCTTCCCTCCTTTCTCCTTCCTTTCCTTTCTTCCTTCCTCTCTCGCCTTTCCTTCTTCCCCTCCTTCTTTTCCTTCTTTCTCTTTCCTCCTTCATCCCTCCTTTCTCTCTCTCCTTTCTTCCATTCCTCCCTTCCTTTTCTTTTCCCCCTTTTTCCTTCCTCAGCCTTCTTCTTTCTTTCTTTCTTTCTTTCTTTCTTTCTTTCTTTCTCTCTTTCTTTCTTTCTTTCCTTTCTTCTTAACAGTACCCACACACTTCCAACCTGGGCCCAAAACTACAGGACCAAGCCAGGGTCAGCCCAGTCCACAGAGAAGCATGGGCTGAGGAACACGGTGGGGCCTGACTTCACTACGGTCATCAAGGTCTTTCCCCAGGTGTACCTAGAGAGACACCACTGTTCCACCCTGAGCCGAGTCCAGGAGAAGGAGGGCTCCTTCCCATCCATGGGCTGGGGCTGATATGCAGGTGGCTTCCTCCTTCTGTGCGCTGTTGTCTCGGGAACTCTCCCTAACACCCCTCTCTGGAGGTGCTTCAAGCTTCCCTGACTTCCCAAGCCGTCCTGTTCCTGGAATTTGGTCCAAATCCTGCACCTCAGGCCAGACCTACTCTCCTTCCACCACCCTCCACTCACCCCCTAACCCCCACCCCAGGCCTTGGAGCCCAGAACCCACATCTATGTTAGAGTACCAACCAGCACTATCCCTTTTCCAGCAACTAGGGCACGAAGAGTAATTAGTCAAAAGAAAGGACTCTAGTACTATTTGACCTTGAACATGATAGCAATAAATTAAAATAACTGCAAATTCCCATCTGGTTTTCCAGATCTGGATGGAATCCTATAAGAAAGAAGATTTTTTTTTTCTTTCTATCTTATGTAGCATAGAAGCCATAAAGCAATTTTTTGTATGGAGTAGAAAAAAGCATAAGCTTTGACAGTATGGAGTTTCCTCAAAAAGTTAAAAAATGGAACTCCCATTTGACCCAGTAATCCCCCTTCTAGGACTATATCCCAAGAAACCAGAAACAGCAATTAGAAAAGACATATGCACCCCTATGTTCATAGCAGCACAACTTGCCATAGCTAAGACTTGGAAACAGCCTAAGTGGCCATCAGCAGAAAAGTGGATTAGAAAACCGTGGTACATCTATACAATGGAATACTACACTGTTACAAAAAAAGAAGGAACTTTTACCATTTGCAACAGCATGGATGGACCTGGAGAGCATTATGCTAAGCGAAATAAGCCAGTCAGAGAAAGATAAATATCACATGATCTCACTCATGTGGGATATAATGATCAACATAAATTGATGAACAAGAATAGATCCAGAGACAAATGAAAGGGGAGGGAGGGGCTAGAGAACAACCAGAGGATTTGAATGCATGCATATTAGCATATCCAACGGACACGGACACTGGGGTGGTGGGGGCTTGCCAGGGCTGGGAATGTCTGGAGAGGGGGGTCAATTGGGGGAAAAGAAGACAAATGTAAAACTTCAGACAATTAAAAAAAAAAGAGAGAGAGAGAGCACGAGCTTTGGAGTTAAAGGGGCTGATTCAAATGACCGTTCCACTGCAATCGTATGAGCTTGGGAAAAGCTCTTAACTGAGACTCTAGTTCCTCGGCCGTCAGCAGATGGCCACCATGCAGACAGTGCCTTGTGCACCGCAGGTCACAGTGAAGTTAGCACTTTCACGTCTCCCTTCCACTTCCCCTTCACCTGTTTCATGAACTGACTCTAAAAACACTTCCAGAAAAAAACCCTGCGTTCATGTGAAGGGGTGTAGCATTCATCAGTGGGGAAAGAGCCTCTCCCACTACCGGACGGCTTCGAAGGGCCAGCAGCCACGAAGAACGCTGTCCGTTTGTATTTTTTAATTCCCATGTTTCCCACGTGCAGTAAGTAGAAGGATGTTTGGGGGCTCTGACCCCCCAGAGGTGGGGCTCCTTGAGGCACAGGTGGTGAGTTTGAGGCACTTACCACGTTGGCCAGCTGACTGATGGCCACTTCAAAATGCACCCTGACGGGGTCAGAGACATTTTCCACGGGCCTGATGAGCGGGTTATAATGAGAAAACAGCTTGTGAAAGAGTCTCTCCTCCGAAGCACAGCCTGCACCACCTGCATGCCAAACAGAGGGGGCCATTAGGGAAGCAGAGAGGATGCTGGGGGGTCTCTGGTGGCTTCCATCACTGGGGGATCGGGCAGTGAGGAGTCCAAGACAAAACCAGGAATGCTTACATCTCAGGACTATAGCAAAGGAAATAATGTTAGTAGACGCACTTTTAAAAGTCTAAGGCACCACAACTGTAAAGAGGGAGACATAGCTCTAATCTTTGCTTATGTCATTGAAAACAGCTCACAGTCTTACCGATCCAGTAATTAAGGGATAGTCCTGCCCTTTCCTGTCAAAATACTGATCCAACCTGACCTGTTTCTTCCCTGAACAAGGGGTCTAGCTGTGAACTGAAAGAGCCAGTAAGATCATTAAGGTCTTAACAAGCCAGACTCTTTCTTAAAACCAACTCTGAAATTCAATTATTTTGGAGATTTGTGAGAATGCAAAGGCTTTTAAGGCAAAATTACTTACTAGTAAGCTGCTCTTTAAAATAACGCAAAATTGGTCCTTAAATAATAATAGCATTTTCAGTTGCTTAATTTAAACGCTAGTTTAATGCCTATCTCTTTGTATGTTTCTAAGAATGCCTTAAAAGTACGTTACTTGTCTTCATTTGCTATAATTCACTTCATTAATACCCTCTCTCTGTTTTCCCTTACAGATTTCAAATTTGACAGCTGAAATATTATTCTACCAATTTCTTGATGATATTTATACCCTGGAAAAAAAATAATTAAAGAAACTGAAAAACTAATTAAGTAAAAATGAGCAAAGGAACAAGTGTTATAATATTGAATAAAAAGAGTCATTTGGCCGGGACCAGTTTGGCTCAATGGATAGAGCGTCGGCTTGGGGACTGAAGGGTCCTGGGTTCGATTCCGGTCAAGGGCATGTACCTTGGTTGCGGGCACATCCCCAGTAAGGGGTGTGCAAGAGGCAGCTGATCGATAACTCTCTCTCATCGATGTTTCTAACTCTCTATCTCTCTCCCTTCCTCTCTGTAAAAAAATCAATAAAATATATTTTAAAAAAAGAGTCATTTGACAGAAGCTTTGGGGAACACTAAAATTTCAGCAGAAAAGAACATTTTTAAACGTAAAACATCATTCTTGACAGCATAATTAATAATGGTAGAAATATTTCTATATAAAACAGACCATCAAAAATCCTCCCCATTACCCATCTTCCCCCCCTCCCCCTTGAGGCATTCAGACATTCTTTTCCCTTTGAGAGGTTTTAGGGAAACCCTTTGTGAGTCTCCAAGGGCAAATCCCCGCAGCTGGCAGCACATGGCAGCGCGGTTTTGTTTGGGCAGAGCAGCTGCCATCTGTTAAGTCTCAACTTTTAAAATGAATGATCTTACTCTTAGGATGCATTTCAGCATCGTAATATGACAGGTTTCCCAAAACAAAGATGACTACCTACAAAACGAAAGAGTTCATACTCTGAGTAACAGGACCAGCTAACAAATAGACCCGTTTTGGAAAAGTATTAAGTACAAATACAAATAAATGAGTTGAATCCATCCATGGCACAGGTGGATAGAAAACTGCATCATCATTCTTATTACCATATTTTAATTGAGAAAATAAATTAGAATGTTTCACCATCCTCCCCATCCCACCCCCAAAACCCTATCCTCCCCATTAAACGTAACCAATTAAAAATAGGTTAACAGCTGTAACAAGAGTAATTCCTGTGCCGACACTACCTATTTACCCGTAGAATATTTCATCTCTCTGCTCAACCAAGCACAACTAGAAGAGTAAACATATGTAACTAGAAAGAGATTATGAGATAAAAGGGAAACAAAACCTACCTTTACAGAAAGCTATGAGGATACACAAGCAGAGACACAGACCACAGTGAAGGCATCCCGGGCCCTGGTGGGTCAGCATGGTTAAAGCACACTTTGATTTCTTTTTCCGGCCAAAGGACCGAGGAAAACAAAGAGCTGTCTGACAGCCACGCGCACCAGACCTTTAAATCAGCAGAGGCGCGCTGCAGTCCACGTGTGCCTTCTGCAAAATAACAACATTCACCAACAACACTGTGGTTTCCAGTATCCGAGACCGAGGCCAATGAAAAGGACAAATCAAAAGAATGGTCTGATGTCAGATGAGTCACCCCATTTCCTGTCACCCTAGATCACTTTTCATGTGAGAACCGTGAAGAAAAGCAGGGAGGGAACGCAAGGCAGACAGGACGGAGGGAGGATGGAAAACATTGCCCGGGCTCAGTAGGTATTTTTGTAGCGCAGTCTTAACCTTAATTCTTAGGGGAATAAACACACATTTACTGAGCTCTGACCGTAGGTAAAATGTATGCCAGGTTCCCAATAGTGTATTCTGGTTCACTGGGTTCTCTCATCAAGGCTTAACCTTGTTATGAGAAAACTTTCTAAAATATGAGTCACTCTTTCTGTCTTAATAAGAGTGTCTTAGACAATTTTGTCTGACTGCAGGGCTTCTAGATTAGTGATCATTCAGATTAGATGTCCGAAAGCGGGAGGAATGATCTGAACACAGGATGCCCCCTGGACAGTTCTGTTTATTTAAACATCCTTGTCACCAAAGATAGACGATAGATAGGTAGGTAGGTAGAAAGATAGGTAGGTAGGTAGGTAGGTTGGTAGGTAGGTAGGTAGATAGATAGATAGATAGATAGATAGATAGATAGATAGACAGACAGATATTAATAGATAGATATAGATAGATAATAATTATTCAGCCATGATTAAGAAGGAACTCCTGCCATTTGAGATAATATGAATGAAACTAAAGGACATTTACTAAGTGAAATAAACCAAACAGATAAAGACAAATACTATATGGTCTTGCTTATATGTGGAATCTAAAAAAGATAAACTCATAAAACAGTGGTTGCTCAGAGCTGGGGGGGAGGGTTGAGAGTAAGGGGGTTGGTCAAAGGGCATGAACTTTCTGTTATAAAATGAGTAAGTTCTGGTGATCTGATAGACAGCATGATGACAACTGTATACTTGAAATTCACTAAGATAATAGATCTTAAGTGTTTTCATCACTTACCTACACACACAAATAATATCTGTTGCCGGTGGGCGAAAGAGGTCCTTTGCTGCATTAGGAAAGATTACAAACGCACAGGTGTGAAGTGTAAACGTGATGGTAAGATTTTATTGGGAATAAAGAAGAATTAACACACCTTTGGTGACCCAGAGGGTGGACAGGCTCTAGAAGCACGGCCCCAAGGTTTTTGCTAATTCTCCATCTATCTTCTTGGCTTAGGCCAGAGGTGGGAAACTTCCGGCCTGCGGACCATATAAGGCCCCGCCAAGGCATCAGGGGTGAGTTAATTAAATGTTTGACCCGATATAGCACGCCAGTTTTTAAGTTGATAATTTTGTATTGCCCTCGAATGATGTTATAAATAACCACATGGCCCTTGGCAGAAAAAAAGGTTCCCAACCCCTGACTTAGGAAAAGGACAAGAACCATTTAAATTACCCAACCCAAACTTTTAACTCTTCATGGCCTTGGATTGGGCCCTCCTCCCAGTAAATTCTATGGAGGTTTCATTTTCTCTATCCAATCCAGTTACCTTTCCAATCATTCCCACACTATCCCTGCCCCGCTATTTCATCACCCTGATGCCCATTTCACTTGTACCAAGCAGAGGAATTTCCTCCCCCAATTCCCTTCCCGGGCTTTTAGCATTTCTAAGGATTCCTATGACTTGGGGTAGCACCCTGAGAGTGTGTTAATGGTTTGTTTACCAGTAAGCTAGATGGAAATTCTGTTGTTATTTGTTCCTACTTCCCAGTTTATTAAAATTATTTCATTTTCTTTTGCTTTTTCCCTTATATTAATAACTCTAACTGCCTACACTGGCATAACTGAGATGATGGGTATGTTAACTAGTTCATTTATGGTGATCACTTTATATATTATATATATATATATATATATATATATATACTCAAATCATCATATTGTACATCTTAAATACATACAATTTTATTTGTCAAATAGAGGCCCGGTGCATAAAATTCATGCACTAGGGGTAAGGGGCAGGTCCCTCAGTCTGGCCTGTGCCCTCTCACAGTCTGGGAGCCCTCAGGGGATGTCTGACTGACACTGAGGTGGGAGAGGCTCCTGTCACCACCACTGCGCTTGCCAACATGAGCCCGGCTTCTGGCTTAGCAATTCCCTTGTGAGAGTGCACTGACCCCCTGGTGGTCAGTGTGCATCATAACAACAGTCATTCCACCATCCAGTCAATTTGCATATTAGTCCTTTATTATATAGGATTATACTTAACTTAAGTTGGGGGAAAGAAAAGAAGTTAGCCCTGAAGATGATCCCTCAGGTCCTTCCCAGACAAACATTCTGTGACATCATCACAAATATGGCATACTTTAAAACTGTACGAAGTTCAGACTAATGACTTCCCTCAAAATTCTATTAGTCTCATATGTCTTAAGGGCACAAAACAAGAACTAACATTTATTAGCACCACATTTAGACCAGACACTGGGCTAGGTGCTTCAGCTACGTCATCTTCAGATGTTAGTTACTCAGGTTCTCCCCTTAGCAGATGGGCTCTGGTCCTTGGCTGACGTGTCCTGTGGAGTTTGGAGAGAACCTACGATGATAAAGAGAAAAATTCTGGACAACACTTTACCATGATGGTTAAAATGCCACCTCACACCCCAAAATGGGCAACACCTCACTAGTTTTCAGAGTAAATCCCAAACCCAGTCGGCTGTTTATCCAAATCACCAACACCACCCTCAACCGTTTCTACTGGTCAGGCTTTAACTGACTTCCCCTTCACACTTTCTAACTGTCGCTTATGTCCTTGCTTTATCCAACAATCCTTCTCTGTAACTGTCACCTGTCAGGTTAAAGAATGACTCTAGCGGGCTATCTTCGGGAATATTGCTGGATACTATTTCATGTTCAGATTCTAGTGGTTAGTTTTTAGGGGATAGTTGAACTGTTACAGATAAGCTGCCAGGCAATGTGGGAGAATTAATCAGCCAGGCACTCAGAGGATATTCAGAAAAGTAGTCTTTATTGCCGATGCACTAGTGCCATGACTCAAGGAAGTCAGTCTCCAAATCCTGAGCGATGAATGTGGATGAAGTTTTCCTTTTATATCCTTAGTTCCTTTGTCCCTCAAATATGGACCAGGTGCTGGACTTTTTGTGGGCTTTGGGAGTTGGGATGGGGGAAGTAAGATCACACTCAGAGGCCTGTCTGGCGCCAGCACTGCCTACCCCTTCAGGGGGTTGTATATGGTTCATGGTTGATGGCCTCTGTGAAATGGGAGTATTCCAGGACACAGGTTCTGCAAGGCAGGACAGGCATCATATACAAGAATGGAGCTTATGGGCAAGCAAAAATGTGCATCAGAATGCAGGTTACTGGAACAGATTCAGATAACTAGCTCCCCAAATGTCTTATTTTCCCTTTCAGAACCAGCCAAAATGTAGTGTTCCTTGTAGTTTACGGAGGTATTGTAGAAAGGTTGAAGGGAGGTAAGAAGTTAATTGCCATCAGAAAAACTTCTGTTTCTCCCTCCCTTCGCCCTCACTCCTATGCCTTTGACTTTATCACTCCTCTTTGCCCATGCCTAAAGGAAAAAGGAAGGAGCAATGGATCTTAATTTTTTTTCCAGGCCATAAATCTAATGAAAACAATGGATTGTATGCCTTTCCCCAAACCCACCCATATGCATATAAAACAGAACTTGACCTGTAATTTCTGGGCAGTCCCAGACCCATGGAGGGCAATGCTTGTTGGAAAATAACCACACCCGGTTTCATGGTTTTCCCAATTTCTATCCCTACTCACTCCACCTCATCCCTTTTCCTGAAAACCTAATGTGTCAGAAAACTGATAGGCTTCAGAGAATAACTGTTGGGTTCCTTTCTTGTTTTTGTTCACAGAATCTAACTTCAATTTGGAGGTTTTCTAAGAAAAAAAGTAATACTGTTTAAATTGAAACTTCTGCCATTAAAATTTTTTCAAACTCCCCTCCCACCCAACCCCAACCCATTGCTCAATTAAATCCATTGCCACTTTCTGCTCTAAAAATAAGGGAAACTATTTGGTGTGGTTATATAAAATAATCTTTAAGTTTACTAGTTAAGGGGGTTTTGGCATAGAAACTGCATGAATGAACATTTTGTTGACCTTTCTCCAACTGTCAGTTCTCTTTAAACTCAAACAAGAATACTCTTTAATTTCCCCAAAGAAACATAAAGGAAGTAACCCTTTAAACATGTATTATTTATAAATCTGCTGCAGCGAAAACATCATCTATAATTTAATGATCCCATATGCTTGGTTTTGTGAGGGTTTTTTAAAGCCACTGTCATTAAAACTCTCACATGTTCAATATCCCCAGTCAGGATTATTTCACATCCACCTCACTTGACATTTCTCAGGCAGGAAAAATAAACAGCAGTAGGGTAAGTATTAAAATTAAATGTTAATTGTAGACCACAAAAAAAAAATCTTAAATCTATAGTCCATAAAAGGCTAAAATTAACACTACTGTGCCCACATTTTGTCCACCTAAATTTTAAGAACCAGAAAACCTGGATTGGGGTAATGCAGTAAAAGAAGGTCAAAACTGTGTTGAAATGTTAAGACTTTGAATACTAATTTTAGCTACCTTCCAGCACTTTCTAACCCTAACCCTAAGCCTAAGCCAGTGGTAAGCCCTTTACATTCTCTCTTTAGATCCTCACATAAACCCCATAAAATGAAATTCACTTTTGTAAGTGGGAACACTGACACTTAAAGATCCACATCTGTCATAGCTTTTAACGGGCTGAGTTGGGTCCTATCTAGGTCTGTCTGAATCTAAGGTTAATGCTTTAACCTTAAAGCTACATTCAAATGCTTTTAGACCCATGGATATTTGATATGCTCAATATATTTTCAGAGGGTTGTTATTGAAATGGGCCATGGCTAGCACTAACTTGGTTATCATTCGCCGTGGATCCCTCACATGAGCTGAGGAGACCAAGACTAACTTGTAAAGGGAGTTGAACTACCCCATTTCCCCGAAAATAAGGCAGTGTCTTATATTAATTTTTTCTCCCAAAGTTGCGCTAGGTCTTATTTTCGGAGGATGTCTTATTTTCAGGGAAACACGGTAGTGGACATAATGTCAGCTGACAGAAGGGAAAGAGCAGGAAACCGCCTTACTTCAGGACAGGCTGACATCAGGCAAGCTCCCAACTCTGGGGGAGTGGGGTTACAGCCACATCCATGCCTTTGGGGTCGCTGGTGTGGCTGTGCCATGCAGTCACTAGGCT